GATGGATTATTTCCAGAGGGATATCATAATCTGGAGTAGTAATCTGTTTTATGAAGAGGAAAATTAATTGAGATTTTACAGCGATAGTTATTGTGGTAATTAACCTTTTTGCTACCTAAGCAACAGATACATAGGGAATGCACATTGGTGGGGACATGAACAAGCAGAGTTATTTTATTTTTCACTGGTGGAGTTTAGAGATAAAGATTTATAGTAAATACAATTTAACAAGATTTCCAGTTTAAACAGAAATCTTCCATCTGCTTCTGATGCACCCATGACCCCTCCAATTTTGCTGGTAAGTCAGTTACTATGGCATACAAATTTAGTTTAATTGTAAAAGTACAATTGTACCTGAGTAGTTGGACTTCAGTTTCCATTTGGAGTCTCATTACTGATTACAAGGGGGTTGTAAGAAAAAGAAGCAGACCGGAGATTTCAGTTGAAACATGGATTTACTATATACTATAACGGAATTTACTCTCAATTTACTATTAATCTTCATCTATAACCTCCCCAGAGATAGTAGAAGTATTTTAGCTTATGCATTTCCGCCCGATGCACTTTTCTATCTGTTGCTATATTGATAGGAAACAAGGAGAGTTGCTTGATTTTCAACTAGGATGATTTCTAGTTTAAACAGAAACCCCACCTCTAATTCTAGGGGAATTTCTCCCACAGCCCCATTGTAAGCCACAGCAAGACCCTAAATTTAGACTGCAGTATATCTACTTAGCAACAATAGTACTCTGGGAATAGCTATGAGTGTGAGTAGCCCAATATAACAGAATTCACCAGTAATTGATATCTGTAGCTTAAGAATATTAAAGAGTGATGGGGGCATTGGAAACGTGAGGGATTCCCAATTGCAATTAAAATTCACTTTAACCTATTTCTGGTGTCATAATAGTGAACTGAGGTTTTCAACGTGTTCTCATTATCTATTAATTAGCTCCCTTGTGGGAAATATTATAACCTATAATTCATAATAAGCAAATGCCCCCAAAAAAGTAAACCACTAAATAGCTCCATCAAGTTCCTGATTAGGCTATGTATGGTTAAATATTGATGACAATCATTTAAAGTGAACTCCAGGCAGACAAAGCAAAACATCTCTTAATGAAGTTATCTATGTATTAAAAACAATGGAAAACATTTTGAACACAGTAACAGAACTTATCTTAGTACTAGCCATATGTAATGACCTGTTTGGGAGAACTGGGAGAACTGGGAGAGGGAGGGGCAGCCCTAGGATCTAAAAAGGTCTGCCACAGTGCAAATGTGCTGAATAGGAGCATGCTGATAGGAGAGCTCATTCACACAAGCGCTGAGGTCTGTGTTCAATAAAAACTTGGCAGATCTCTGCACCCAGGAGCCACCGGTGTTGCGTACAGCCCATCTGTACAAATGAAAGGCTGTAGCTGTATGCTGGAAAAAGCTGCTCCAAGGGTATGCTTGCATACAGGTATGGATGTACGCTCCTGGACACAGACTGTCTTAAAAAGGTAATTCCAGTTTTATACACGTTGTTGTTTATATATAGAGCCAGGGCTGAAAAATAAATCAACTTTTTAAATATTATTCATTACTTATATTGCTTTTAACAGTCATACAGGGTTTTGACAATTCGACTGAAGCCAGTTGAGAATTTAAAAATTTTCAAATGGGCATAGTAGACACTCCAATACCTTATAAAGGCATAGTAGAAAAACAATGGTTAGGAATATTATTAATAAAGTTGATTATTTTGATGTCCTGGTTGAGAATATCAGCCCAGCTAAAATGTGTTTACAAAGTGAAGTTAATCTTTAACTGCCAGTTACAGGTTGGGGTGGATAGGTGACCTAGTGTCAGGGTCCAAAACACCTCCAGGTGGAGCTGCAGCAGATCCTGCTGTTCCAGTGCTCACCTGCAGGTGTCTCCAGGCAGCCAGTGGCTGTCAGGTACCTGAGCGCCTCCAGGTGGCACTGTGATGCTGGAAGCGGGTCCTGCAGTTCCAGGGCTCACCTGCATGTGTCAGCAATTAGCCACCACCTGATGCTGATCTGGGAGGGTATTTAATCCCTCCCTGCAGTGAGGCTGTTGCCACACTATTGTTACTTTAACCTGTATCCTGTAGCCTCCCTGAACCCTGACTATTGTTCTGTGGCTCTTGTTGCCCTGCTCCCCAGGTTCACTGGCCCTGTTACCTTCTGCATGTGATTTGCTGTTTGCATTTTAGTTGGCTATTATTTGTTACTTGTGGGTGTTGGTGGCGTTGCTTGTGTTACTTGATTTCAGTGTGTCTAATAAACTGTAAGTTCATAACCTCATGAGCATTGTCTGGTGTGGTGATGCATTTGGTCCTCCCGTATAGATACCTGCATGCGGTGTAGGGACACCCGCGCACGGTATCGTGACACCTAGCTTTAATGCTTAGCTAGAAAAAAAAAAAAAAAGTAATGTTTCCGGGCTCGGTTTGCGCTGTCGCAGAGCTGTGCAAAATTTCAGGACAGCAGTACAAAACAAACCAATGCTTTATATGTATTTAACTATGCATTTAGTTGTTTGCCTGGAGTACAGCTTTTAATCTTAACCTCATAAAAGCAGCTAAATATACTTGTGAAATATATACAGGCAGTCCCTGGGTTACGGACATCCGACTTACGGACAATCCGTACTTACGAACGGGGTCCACAGTTCTCCTAAATGTACCGGCAGGCGCCGGTACATTTAGGAGAACTATGGCTGCAGCGACCTGTATCCTTTCAAATCCCCACTGCTCCCCGCGCCTGTGTTGGCGGAGGCAGCGGGGACACAGACCGATGCATACTGCTGATGCCCCACATACCTCCGCTGATGTGCCGACTTCCTCTTCAGCCGTTCCGTCGGCTTCCCCAGGCCGGACGATCCTCCGGTCTCCTGGTCCGGCCGCGGCTCCTCTGCCCCGCCCCCCTGCCTACTCTTCATTGCAGGCTGGGAGCCATAGCCAGCTAGCTATTGGATATTGTAAAATGCAATAGCCAATAGCAAGCTGGCTATAGCACCCACCCACTGTCTGCTGTCAATCAGCATGGGGGGACCTGATAGAGAACTTTCTCCTTCAGGCCCCTCCTCTGCTGATTGACAGCAGGCAGTGGGCAGATGCAATAGCCAGCCTGCTATTGGCTATTGCAATTTTAAATATCCAATAGCAATATCTTGTATGTAACCCGGGGACTGCCTGTATACTGCATATGATCTGTTTTACCTGCCAAAAGATTAGTAAATCAGTGCAGCCAATTTTATTATGCAAGCACTCCTGCCATACAGCATAGCCAACCCTTGACCTCTGCTAAAAAAAAAACACAATTTTGAACAAAACACACACTCAGCCAACTAAATGGCCAATAGAGGAGTAGCAGCAGCACATTGATGAGGACATCCCTGTGCACTCCCCTCCTATCAGTCCATGTTAATAAAGTAGAGCATAACTGGCTGCTTTTGCTGGCCCTCCCTCTCCTAGTCCATTGTTGGCCATGGATATTTATGGTCAGATGGCAATGGTCAGAGGTTTTCTCCAACATGCCTGCTTATTTGCCATATGCACATATACTTATCTGTAATGCAGAGACCAACAGTGCCACTGTAATCTTAGAACAAAAAGCTATCCGATGAAAAATTCCAGACTGGCTAAAAACCTTTCCCCTTGGCAGAACAGGCATGTACCGTTTGTATGTCAGATACTTTGGTCACAAACAGTAGGTATCAAACAAGGAATGTACCTTTATTTTTACTTTTTAAATGCTCCAAAACGAATAACATGTAGTAAGAGCAAACTACATGATTATAGTTAGAGGAAATAATCACTGGAAAGACAATCAGGAAATTACCACTGAGGCTTCCTGGATTAAATATTATCATAATTGCAAAATAGTGTTGAATGTAATCCAGCACAGCACTAGAATGAATGTGCTTTTTGATTGTAGGAAATATGAACCTCTTGGTGCTTAGTGTCTTGATGTTTTTGAACCAGAGTGTCCTGGGACTTGTCTTCCTTGTTATTTATGTCTGGGTATTGTTCATTAAAATGAAATAACCCCCTATAGGAAATAAGCCATCTGCTGCTACGTTCTCCCACCAGAGCCTAGTGGAAAGCTGCCAACTCATTTTCTGCAAACCACACTTCACGGACTGGCAAGGCATCAAATTAGGCATTAAAGGGGCAGCCTAAAATCTTAAAGTGTAAGTAATGCTGAGTGTCATGAAAAAGCCTTTATAGCCATTACAGCACAATAATATGCATGTAAATTGATAAGGCATGTTGTCTCCTATCCAACTGAAAAAGTTAACAAATGCTCTGCAATACTTGTATTTCATATAAATAAAGGTGGCCACCCAAAGACTAAATCCTCCTGAATGACTTAAACAGAAAAACTAAAACAGAAGTGGAGCAACTAGGTTGTTCATGAAAGCCAATCAGATTCCAGACTTCCTGTTTAATGTTCTCAGACACAAGGCTGAAACCTGATTGGTTGCCATGTGCAACATCTAAATTTTTCTAGTACAATAATGATATTCTGGCTTTATTTTGAGACATTTTTTATTGCTGTCTTTGAAACACTTTTCACTTCAGAGTATACATCTTAGGCCCAGTCAGAGACTAGAGGGAGGATTTACCAAACAAGATGGATATAATAGAACATTTATTTCAGGTCTAGGTCTGCTACTTAACTTTTTATAGTATTCTAAATAAATCACTTCCCAGTTGTTTTTCAGTTTGATTAATAATATATAGCAAGCCTAATATTCCATAAAACTTATCAATGTAGGTTACGTAGACACTACAACTTATAGAAAATATTTGTGCACAATTACTCCCTTTCCTAGTGCGTAAAGAGAAAACATGCTACTTTGTTCCTAGGACCAAAATGCTTTATGTTTAATATACATTGTTGATATTAACATTAAAAATAGTGCAAATGTAAACAGTAAAATGGTAGTTACACTCTGCTTTTTATAACAATATATAACAATCTTACCTGTTGGAACCAAGGAAAGACTCTGCCCTTAGGATAATAATGACTACTGACAATACTAAGAAGGGTGTCCAGCACCATACCGATCCAGGCTTTGGTGGGAAGGATATCAGGTTCAATCTGCAGGTATCAAACAGGATAGGATTGTCATCCTATAACAATCTATATATTAAGAGGTAAATGCATGCATATCATGAGGGCTCATTAAGCCAAGCCAAGCACATTACCATACGCTCTATGACCTATATAGTTTAAAGTTTTCAAATGTGTTTAACTGTTTAAAATAAACAGAAACAGGAACCATACCGCACTCCTTACCGGGATTCCCACTTGATGAAGATGGGTGCTCGAAATGACTGCGGATGGCACCGCCACACATGAACAGTAGAAAACAGTACAGTACACACATGAACAGTAGTTATCTATAAGCCTGATGAAGGGGACCCTGCGAGGCCCCGAAAGCGATTGCCAATGAGATACAGCAAAAATGTCACCAGCACACCATGAGTTGAAAAAGAAAAATATTTTATTGCCAAGCGCTTTCGGGGCCTCGCAGGGTCCCCTTCATCAGGCTTAGAGTTATCTCTAAGCCTGATGAAGGGGACCCTGCGTGGCCCCTGAAAGCAATTGCCAATGAGATACAGATATTGGCAATAAAATATTTTGCTTTTTCAACTCATGGTGTGCTGGTGACATTTTTCTACTGTTACTGTTTAAAATGTTACAGGTGCAAAACTAACATGAGAGATATTGGTCTAAAATGTGAACCTTACGAAATGTTGTGCTACTGCCATTCTTGAGGGAACATACAAAACAAAGAAAAAAAAAAAAAGGTGTCGTCTGATAAGAAAAGTGAAGACTGAAACTCAAAGTTGTGATGACGGTAAACCAACCTGAATGGTTATGCATTGTAACTCTATGAAAGGCCACCATAGGATCTGTGCATTTTTGTCAAGTTCATGAAAGCTTACAAGTTAGCGTTGTCGCCTTTTCTTCAAGCAAAACCCGAACACTCTAGTGACGTGCGGACATTTTGTGGGGAGAATGAGTCATGGCGTAGTCATATGTAAATAGCTCCACTTATTAATATGTAAATATCACAGTTGAGACTGTTTTCAGTGGGGGGGCCAGTAGCCCAAATCTTATTTTTGGTTGCCCCGTCTGCCTGACATCCTGTGCCCGGGTTTCTGCTGCCATGAAACCCGGTCACAGCATTCAAAACCCGGACTGTCCTGGTGATTACTGGACAGGTACAACCCTATTAGAAGTGCATATGTAAAAATACCCTTTACAATTTGCACTGTAGGACTAGAAGGACTTGTGTATCTTCAAGTCAAAGAAAATCTTAAATGAAACATTTCTTACTTATGATTAGCTAAAGAAAACTATGAGCTAAGGTGTAATAACGATTCAGCTAGCAATCCTGCACTTCTATTGATGCTAGAAGGGAAGTACAGCAGAGGTTTCCCTACAATAATGATGAAATGCTGTGGGGGTGGTATTTTCAGCACTTCAGACATTTTAGGAGCACAGTCATAAGATTGGTCAAAACCAGCAGCAGTGGAAGATCTTTGTTCATTATACATGACAGAAAATCCAATAATTGATGTTGAAGAACAAGATGCTACACTTATCAAAAGTAGAGGCTACCATGACTTATGCCAGAGGTCTTAAAAGCATTTAATTTGAATCTGCATTTATAGATTTGATAGTATCTGTAAATAATGTAATGTGGGCACCACTATACTTTGCTCTTTTGGCTATGGAGCACTTGGCATTGGAGTCATACCTTGAAATTGCATGTATTGGATGCGTGAGTTACACTGGAGTTATCTAAATTGGTAATCTAATATATTTCATTGATACTTCATAAAGTGTGTGCTGATTTATTGAAAAATGCTTTTTACTATAAAGTATTCCCAATAAACAAATAATAATAAAAAAAGAACAAAAACACACGCACCTCTGGGGCACCTTCGGATTCTGAAGGAAGACTGTTTTCATATTTGGAGACAGTGGCAGCTAAGCCAGTGAGAGCTAAGAGTGCATTCCCCTTTACCACAGGGCTGTCTCTGTAGAGGGAGAGATGTGAACAGTGGAGACTTTAGCATAGAAACTTTGGAGCTCACTTTAGTGCTTTGTAAAGTTTAGTTGTCCTGCTTTCCTGGCATGCAGAACTGCATCATTTATCAGCAAAATAGAAATTTCTATTAACTTTTAGTAAACTTCATTTGTAGTGACCTTTAAATTGTCAGTTGTCTTATGTCCATTGATAAACATTCATGCACATTGTCAGGTGAATTATCAACATTATACACTGCTGTCAATGAACACCTGTAAATCCTGGTAGCAAACACTATTTTATATGGGGTCCATGTTAATAGTATAGGGGTTATTTACAATACCTAGAAGCATCTGCATTGCTTTTAGAAGCCAGTAAGATAATACGTTTCCGAGGCAGGGTGTGTGTGTGTTAAAGAAAGATGTGCCCTCTAAGTAGTGGCATCCTTAGTGCCATTCAGCTCGAAGTTCAAACAGTGGTTAGTCGGGGAGATTCCTAGTCGTTGTACCCTGCCTTTTAACTGCACACAAAGAGTTGGAGCCCTCCCTTTAAAGTGCATACTAAAGGATCAACAAGGCAGTGGCAAATAGCTTACTTGATAGAAGACCTTATTACATCAGTCAGCGCATCTCTCACCCTGAAATGGAAAATTGCAAACGGTCACTAAAACAGAAAAGAAAGTTTAAGCCCCAACTCCTTCAAAAAACATTTTTGTTAGTTTTAGAGTGGAGAAGGGTCAGAACTTCTTTTTTAATTGCTGGCTCTGTCCACTTGGGTGAATTTCCACCTCGCTTCTGGTTTTGTCCGACATCTAGACAGGGAATTTAGGGAAAATCTCCCCAGTAGAAACCCAGACAGGAAAGTAATCCTCACAGAGGTTCTTACCCTTTTCCTACCTACTAAATATAATGGAACTGCTGTCTATGTTCCTCTTGGGAGATTTACTCTTACTCCCTGTTCTTTGTGACACCTGTCAAACAGGAGGTATGACACAATCTGAATGAGAACACATATTAATATAAAATTTACACATAACACTAGAATAGACAAAGTAGCAGCAAAAAGACAATATGCCTGAGCTTCATATTAAGGAGCCATGTTTTTTACATACATCATAGAAAATGCTGCCATTCTGACAATGTGGTATTTGCCAGTTTTTACAATTACAACGATCACTGGATTATAGGGTTAACTGACATAACACATAACCTGCTCCATACCATAGCCATGCCGTGTGTGCTTTATACTGGAGTTCTTGTGGGTCATCCTTTCCATGTTTCAGCTGCATTTCCAGCTCAGCCTGCCTACCCTAGAAAATAAAAAATAAACAGCAAAACCATGATAAAGTGATTCTGTCATGAGAAAATGGAACCTCCATTGCTCACTAGTTACCTGGCTGTGTCTAGCTTCAATACTTTTAAGTAACACATCTGGAATGAACATTGTAAATGAGTGTTAAAAAAAGGGCCAGAATTCTTCACCTTTATACTTGTTCCAGGTCAGAGACTCAGAAAGCATTGAAGCCAAAACTTCAGCATAACAGCCAGACTAATAGCATTCTTAAAGAGGTCAGCAAAGGCATCCCTAATTCTATCAATACAATCCAACTTAATATAAAAGGTAAATTGCCAACAACAAAAGAGTTCCTAGCAAAAATATTATTTCTGAAATGCAGGACACAGGATTGTAAAATAATCTATAATTACAGGAGGTCTGAACGCTGGCAAAAAAAATGTGAAGCAAGCACCAACTGCCATGCCTCAGTTTTGCGAGGAAGTTGTAGATAAGACCAAAAACACAGAGGGGCAGGACTCGTGTCCCTCAGTGGACTCCAAGAAAAAGGTTTTATGGTAAGTGCAAGAATCCTTTTTTTTTTTATATTCTCTATTGAGGGACACAGCATTGCAGAATAGTCTATGACATGTTCAACCATTAAAACAGTCCAACTATGGGGTGGACAAAACCTCTTGGAAACTAATGTGATGGAGGCTTGATGAATAACAAGTTACCAAATATGGAGAAGGAAATTGTCAAGGGAGACATGCAACATCGACCAGGACTAGGAAACTCTAAGAGGAAACTAGTAATTATAGGAGCAATGAGCCTCTACCAAAATGTGGAGGACAACCAATTATCCACCTTAAAAGAAAAACACACGAAGCAATAATAACCTAAAAGGAAATGAATTTAGACCAGCAGTTAGGTTGGTCAACCAAAAGAAAACTATTGGTGTGAAGGCCTAAGCCTATTATACCAAACCCTTAAATTTCAGGAAAATGAAGATAGGACTCTTGAGATATACCCATGGAAATATAAACCAACTAGATAACAGATGGAAGCTTAGATAAGGTATCTTTAACCCTTGACATTAGGACAAGATCGGTCTATAATATGAGGGAAGTTTCCAGACAGGAATTAATTTATAAAAGAGAAGTGCATGGATTTGAGAGTTCTCCAAATATAAAATCGAATAGATTTAGAAGAATTATAGCAATCCAAAATCCTTTAAATGGAAAGAGTAGGGTGATAACACAGAGTAGACGGGGTAAAGTTAAATTGTAACACCTATAGGCGAACCAAAAAAAATGAAGGAATCAATGCTACTTATACCCAAAATCAGTGGCATTACTAGGTGGGTGCAGCCTGCACCTGGGTGACAGTAAAATGACCGACAGTCATTTTGGTGTCACCCCCTCTGAAAAGTCGGGCACTCTGTCATGGACTGAGAGCCCGAAAGTTGCACGAGAGAGAAGGGGACCCAGTGGCATACCTTATCCCACCCGGTCAACATCCCCTCCTCTCTCTGCCAGCGTCCATCACCAAGATGGCCGTCGGCAGGTATCACCAAGCTGGGCGTGCATGCATGTGATGGGTACGGCGGGGTGTCACCTGGTACCCACTCCGGGTGACACCCTGCCCAAAATAGTTAGAATAATGTGATGGCTATATTAAACCCTGCCTGACCAAGAATAACATTTATGATTCTAGGAATTAATATATTCTGGAATGTCATGTGCAAAATCCACAGTCGAGGCATAAGGGTTAGTAATTTGCTTAGGAGCACAAGGAAAAGAAGGTGAGGAATTATGGTCAAGTAAACAGGTGCCACTAAGTCTGCTGGCTTAAAATATCCCATCAAGGGAAAGAACTGTGGCATGATAAAGAGTTGTATTACCTGACCTTTCAGGTAGGTACCATTACCTAGTAAATTATGTTTTCTTGCGAAATAGGACACATCTTCAGGATAATGAATCCCAATGCTCAAATGAGAAAAATGTTATCTGAAGGAGGTGAAAATGGGCTGCTTTGAAAAAGGAGACTGAAGGAGTAGTACTAATCCCAAGGAGAGGGAAGGCATAGTCCCCAATAAGGGAAAAGACTATCAATACAATTGGTAACTATTAAGGTACTAGGGATAACAGTTTTTGTGCCATGGTAAAAAGTATACATACCTGTAATAATAATAATAATTACATTTACTGAAGTATTGGAAATTGTGTTCTATAGATAGAAAGTAAGGTAATTCCTAAAAAAAAAAATCAAGCATCATAAGGAGTAGAATCTCAATAATTGCTAGGAACTCCACAGCAGAGAGTATTGCAGGAGTAAGTGGGATAGCTTGAACAAGAGCAAATTTCTATCCAGGCACAGGTACACAGTATAACCATACAGGTTATGGTGAGAAGGGACTAAAGCAATCAAAAACTCATCCAACCAAATTAGTGGGTAGCACAGTGAAGCCTTCTTAAAACAAAAGATATTTACATGTTTAACACATTCCAAAACTAAGAGGGTTTATCCTCATTTCAGAACAGTGGGTGGATATCCAGGCACTAAAAGTACCCAAGGAATGCTGGCAAAAAAAAACACAAAAGAGTGCAATAATGCCAAAAAAAGGGTAATTTAGAGGTACCAGATCTGTATTTTAAAAAAGGAACATACTGCAAGGATACAGTTAACAAGTGATCCAGTAAAAACAACAGACAGCCTACAATATACAAGATTGGAAGGAGTCTTTATGCAGAGGGCTGAATAGCAGAGACTGAGGATTTGTGGCCCTGAAATCTGCCACTTGCATGGGAAGACTGTGTATATCTAGGAGGAGTTCTGTAGAAGCAGAGGAATAATGAGGTTGCTCTACCTTATCAAAGGACCTCCTGCGGCAGGTAGGTCTCCTGTAGGTGGCAATATAACCCACATATTTTAGACTAAACTACAATCCTGTGTCCCTCAATGGACAATAACAAAAAACATATTTTTGCACGAATTTGCATTTAAACTACCAAGGTACTGTTCTCCATTTCCTGCTAAAAATAAGTGTCAATAATGTAAATTATGGAAAAAGCAATATGCATTAAAATGTCATTCTAAAGCTGCCCATTCGGGTTACAACTTGGTGGTAGAAAATCCTTTTAATTTACCGACAGCCATGCAGTGCAAGGTCCTAACCAACTGGATAATAATTGAATCTATTGTTTAGGCAGGCCCCTAAACTACATTGTCATTGGTAAATCTAAAGGACATTGTAAAATCAGACTGTAAGCTGTATGGGCAGCTTTAGAGTGTTTTACTATATACCTTTAGATCTGAAGAAAAGTTTGTGCTAAGGTTATTATAGGATGGGAGGGTAACCTATAATCCAGTGTTGACGAACCTATGGCATGTGAGCCCAGGTTCAGGGGTGGCCTCTAAACAGGCATATTAAATGGCCGCTTGCTCGTTGCTATGACCCTGAGAGCCCCACCAGTGAGCGGCCGTCTAATATGCCCTTTTAGAGGCGCCTCTGCCTGATTGTCACCGGCCCGGATCGCTTACCCAGGAGATCCGAGACAGTCGGACTTGTTTTATTTAGAGAGCGGCAGATTACGTAGCATTATATTATTCTGCATTGCTGGGATTGTCAGTCCTCTATAGCTGATGCTATTATTCTGCATTGCTGTATATTGTATTGCTAGGATTTGTAGTCCTCTATAGTTTGTGGTATTCTGCATTGTTGTATAATGTATTGCTGAGATTAGTTCCTCTACAGGTTGGAGTCAGTGGCAGAACTACCAGGGTCACAGCTGCAACTGGGCCCTGGTGCTCCACCACTGACTCCAAGCTGTAGAGGGACTGTTCCCTTGCAGTGTGCTGCGTGACATGTACCTTAGTAGCACACCGCAATGGAACACTTCACTCATTAGCACAGTACATGTCAGTGTATAGTGTAGTTAAAACCTCTTGTATTGTATTTTTCTTCTAAGATTTAAGCACATAATTAGTTCAGACAGTCGTATGAAGCGTTTTTCTAAAATAAATCATCAGTATTCGGGTCTAATTTCAGGGTTGGCATTCTGAGACACATAAGTTGGTTTAGTCATCCAGTTTGGGCTCAAAAAGGTTTGTCATCACTGCTATAGTCAGTCTTTGCCGTGTGTGCAAAACATACCTGAAGCACAGCATGGAATGCCCTTCCCATGAAGCCAAGCCATGACTGAGGCAACAAAATAGAGCGATGCCATTCCGAGGACTGGATATTTACCTACAGGACACACATGTGCAAATGGTAAGTTGTCAATTCGATCAGTATACACTGAGATACAGAAACTGAAGTTATATGCAAATCTGTAAACATGTTTTATCATATGCACAGTCTGAACTGAGTTCTGTAACAGGTTTATCTGTTTTAAGAAAGGACATGTACTGTACTTACCATTAGTGCCTCTGTTGAATGGAATATTCTCTGTCTTGCAAAGCTAGTGCTGTCAGTTGAATAGGCAGAATTCTACACCAATGGGTGTGTTGGATGCTTTCATCTCCGCGCTGTGGCTCCACCAGTTAGCTGCTAAATCACCAGTGTGTCTCCAAAAATCTGAAGGGCCACGTTAGTGACGTAGCGGCTGACAAGTGGAACCATAGGGGGCAGGCATCCAACACACTGGGAAGTGAAGATTCTAGCTCTGCAAGAAAGGAAAGAAGCAAAGCTTGGGTACACAAAATGACATGCTTGTAAGTACAATATGTTTTTTTAAAGAGGCACTTTTTTCACCATCGATGTATCTTAACAAGTGTATTTTTAAATATCACACCCATCTTACTAAAAATAATACTTTGGAGTTTATTTTCTTTGGTGGGTGGGGGTGGGGGGGAGTTAACTGGCCCACATTTTGTCTTTGATGAAATCTGTCTGTAGATGGGCAATAGCAGAGTCACAATAGAACAGTACTGACTGTGTTTCAGTTGGTTACTGGCAAAAATAATTTTTCAGTTCCTATTCTTTTCTGCTAAATGAGTTATTATAGGGTAAGCCCCCTTTCACATGGGCTGATCAAGAGGTGATCCATATACGATCTCCTCCTAGATCGGAGCAGTACGGATCGCATTGTCACCGCTGTGACATCCATGTCTGTCCAGTTTTTTTCCTCTTGCGATGCAGGAAAGTAGTAATTATGCCAGAGCCCATGTTGGTCTATGGGGAGTCAGATATAAACAGACATGTTGACCTCTGATCTGGCACAATCAGGTCCGGCAAAATGGATCTCGGATTCATTTGTTTTCTGGACCTGGCAAGAGTTGGGGGTAACCGGGTGTAGACGCCTTTCCGTTTACACACGGCTGCCCATGGACTAGCATTGGGCATCCGACCGGGTCCACTTGAAAGACTGACAGGTAGACCCGATTGGACTGCCCATGTGGAAGTCAATGCACATTCTTGGGAAAAGTATTTGCTTAAAAAGCTGAGCATATAAAAAGAAAAATGGCTGTTCGTTGGTGTGAATTAATCAGAAGCTCTCATTAATTATATGGGCACCTTTACAAAATAACTAAAGATTAGCACACAAATAACATTTTAAAAGATTAAACATTTCTTTTTTTTAAATTGAATAACAATGCCAAAATGATTTTCCTTTTCTTTAAACACAACAATATGTTTTGTTAACAAAGTAACAGAGCAGTAGAGCAGTGCACATTATAACCGTGTGAGCCACATAAATCAGTCAAAGCCAGATCAGTATTGCCATCATTAGAGATTCTTAACACATACCTCATGTATAAGGGCTGTTAACATCTGCTGGTAACTGCGGCCCCTGCTGGCAAGGAAGCGATTGATAGGTCTGCCATCTCTGTCCGTCAGAACAGGCAGGTCATAGCACAGCAGCATGCCGGCTGTGAAATTTTACACTTAGTGAGAAAACCCATAAAAAAAATGTATGATGCCTACATGACAGAAAAGCTTCATCTATACAATGAATGCAGTGTTTTATTTATAATGAGTGAATGCAGATTAGGACAGATAAGTACTGAGGTAATAAATTAGGTTTATGCACATTACATCTGTTTGATATAAAAATCATAAGAAACTGGATATTATCACTGTTTCCTTAGTAGAGTTGGAAATCAGCGGGATGTATGATTCATTCACAGTTGTTTTCTTTGTTTGTTTTACCATGACCACTGCCAGTAATAGAGTCACATCATCTCTTTGTACTGTCATTTTAAAATCAGCACAACACATTCTACATAAAACAAAAGGACATAAGAAACGTTCTTAAATGTACCTAGCATAGCTTATTTTAATTGCCTGGTAAAAGCTACCTCATTAAAAATTGTGGCTCAAACCTTTTCCCAAATGCAGATATTCTACCGCAAAGGAGTGAGATCATTTGTAGATAGTATTTATCTTTTTTTGTGTTATGGTGGAACAGATTTTTGAAATGTCTTTCATGTCTATTGGGATAGCCTCCAGGTTTACTGGTATTGCTATGTTCTGTCTACAGTGGCTTACAGTTATCTGCACTATACCATGGAACTATAGCAGATATACTGGGCTTCAGGCATAAACATAACTACAAGAAAAATGTGTTATAATCTTCCTTTAGTTCTTCCATACCGAACTAAAAACTTTAAATGAAAAATCTGAGCGGCTGGCAGAGGCAACTGTTAGGGCTGATGCAACGAAAATGGTAAAAAGTGGATAATAAGTGGGTAACTCCAGTTTTTGTGCAGATAAGCACAAAACTGGAGTTACTGTTACTGGAGAAATGTAACAAGAATTTTGATTGGTTGCTATGGTTAACAGTTCCAATTGTGTGCTCATTTTTCTTTACCCAGTTTTTAATCAATCAGCCACACAGTCTTCATGTGATTATTCGAATGTCAACTGTACAAGTAGATAACTACAGACCGCTACTGATAGACTGCGTGATCATGTCAACAGATGAGGACTAGATTTCACAATTATCTACCCTGCCTTAAGGTGCCAATACACCTTACAATTATCTGCAGATTTTCTGAGGTCAGATGGAAAAAGTGCAACAGATTGGCCCAGGCGGAGGTTACTCCATCCACACAGTTAAGTGTAGATGGAGGAATCTGTTACACCTTTTTCATCTGACCACAGAAAATCTGCAGATAATTGTAAGGTGTATGGCCAGCTTTATAATATCATCTAACATGTGGAGTAAAGTGGAGTTACACCTAACAGATTTACTTCCCACAGCAGTTACAGTTCATCCCAAGATTTATTTTCAACAGCAGTTATAGCCCACCCCAGGATTCACATCCCAAAGAAGTAATAGATCATTCAGGGATTAACTTTCCACAGCAGCAAAAGTTTATCTCATTGTTCACCTACTTACAATACCACAAGAGTAAATGATACGGGAGTCTAAGACCATCATCACCTGCAAGTCCAGGTTTCAGACCAGGCTGTCTGTTCTTCTCATACATCTTCAGCATGAAGCTTGGAATTCCTGCAACGGTTTTCCCCTGGTCAGATCGTATTGTTCCACCACGGAGGGCATTATGGTATATGCCACGTGGCATACGACTCATTTCTTGCTTCACCAAAGATGAGAGGAACTCTTCATATGCTAAATAAAAATGTAATGCATCATTAGGAAAGGAAGTGGTTGTGCAGTAGTACTGTTCCTCTCCTGGTATGGTAGTGACTGCACTTTAAACTATAACAAAGTAGTGTGAGAATTTTCCTGACTTCAGTAATGATATTTTTAATAAATAAAATAATTCCAGCTATTTTTATTGGAACAACAATACTAAGACCAAAGGGCATGTTTAATCAATTTTTAAAGTCAATAGTAGTGGTAGGTTCCCTTTAAAGCTAATAATACTCACCCATCCTGAGACTGCTGGTAGAGATATTGTGTCCTGGAATGTCTGGAGTTTTTTTTGTTTTCTTTTTACTTTTGTCAACCACAAAGGTTCTCTTAACTATACCAGGTCCAAATTTGAGATGCTGAACTTTTGAACTCTTTTATTCAGTTCATGTGCCAAGTACATGTCCGGGACAATACAGCCATTCCTTGGATAAAGTAGCTTTTCAAATTCTTCAAATTTCACTTATCAGTCAACGTTACCATGTTTTCAAATTCAACTCATTTTTCTTGTGTCTTCCCTTTTAAAAGGTAACTCTAATTGTATTAAACAATTGCTACAACATATATCATAGCTATACAAGCTATTTTGTAATGTAAATTATATAAAAATTACCTTTTCAGTTCAATCTGCACCCAGCTTAACAGTAATCTATACAACATTGGGGCACACCAAAAATATAATTTCAGCAGTTTTACTCCCATTGCAACACTGGGGCAGATCATGTGACTATAAGAGAAAGACCATCCCACAACACTCTTAAGAAGCTGAAAAAAGTAGAAAGTAAATACAACCCATGTGTGACCTTTAATACAAATAGCTGCAGGTAGGATTCAGCAATAATGTTTGCTAAAATTTTAGCAAAGCATGTAGCTTACCAGGGGAAGATTGTTCTTTTCAAAGCACAAATGGTGTTAAACTTTAATTAGAAGTAGAAAAAGAAGGCATTTTAATTTACTCCTTTATAATAAATAAGCAGATATTAAATTACTTCACGGCCGCCCAAAGAGATTTTCTGGGAGGACCCACACCACAACATAGTAGAAATACAACCAAAGAGAAAGATAGTGGGGTTTTGCATGAGTCACCCTTGTTGGAAATAGAACAATATAAGGATAAAATGTACAATATTTTATTTACACATCTATTAAAACTGTTCTCAACTAAAAACATAAATCAACAGTGTCATGTTAGCAGGCAATACGTCAGTAGAACAACCACATTTTTCAACTAGATTATATATATATCTATATCAAGTCCAAACTAGTGGAGGATGTGCATTTGTTTCAATGGAATGCTGACAAATTATTTTTAACTCAACGCGTTTCACCTTTGTTGGCGTCCTCAAGGAGAGGGACTTAATGCCTAGAGGTGGACCCGCTATGCCATGGACACAAAAAGACATCAGAGCCTAGTGTCCATCACCCCCCATCACACTGAGACGGTTGGGACCCCACTCGAAACCACCACAGTGTGGTGCATTATGTGATCTTGCAAAAAAAAGCGCAGCCAGCGTCCCAATTTTAATAGATGTGTAAATTAAATATTGTAAATGTAATCCCTTTAATTTATTGTCCTTATATTGTCAGTCTAATATTAACAACAAGGGCAACTCATGCAAAACCCCACTACTGTATCTTTCTCTTTGGGTTATATCTTTTATAATAAAGTTTTACAATAAAGCCATTTTTATGGAGCTGCTTTGAACATCCAGGGGATTTCCATGCGACTCTTGCAACTCTTATTGCGGGCCGGGCCTGACACTAACACCGAGAAATGGATTCATGGCAGATGTAATGATTTCTTTTTATTCCTTAGGAATAAATAAAGAGGCTTTTCTTACCTGGCAATACAGGAGATGGAGTTAGTGCCATCAGTTTTATATATGAGGAGCCAGGTACGGAAAGGTCCACTTCCTTTTCATCCTCTTCTCCAGCCAAATCAGACTCTTCTGGTGGGATTATCTCTGGCCTAGCCTAATTGAAACCAAATAATTTGTATTGAAATGATGATCAGAACATTTAGATTTTTTTTTACTAGGAAACTTTTTAAATTTTTTTTAATGAGATAAATACAGTATATAAAGAGAGTATACAAAAACTAAACCAAATAAAATGTGTCAATCTTAAATGCAGCAGATTTAACCAGATTCACCAAATACTAACATAAACTAGGGCTGAAACCAGGGGTGTATCTACTGCAAGGCAAACTAGGCATCTGCCTAGGGCGGCACTTTCCAGGGGGATGCCAAAAAATTCTGCCCCCCAAACCAGTTAAGTAAGAGAAAAAAAGAAATTATATAATAAATTATTCATAAATTACTGCCAGTACTCCTGGACCTGGTGCTTCTTTGACTAGGGGACCAACGTGTCCACCTATGCCGCCTACTCCAACATATATGCCGGCTGCAGCTCTTTCCTCTTCCTGGTCAACATGCTGTGCAATGTATTGGTGTCACTTTCATCTGGATGCATTGGCAGTTCGTGCGCCAGACCTTCCTGGGTAACCGGCACCCACATCTCTGACTTCAGGCAGCGTAAGATCTTCCGCAGGACACCAGGGCTGAGATCCAGATGGTCATCCAAACAGACCCCTGACATTTCCCTTTTAAAATAGAAAAGAAATTGAGGACACCAAATCCTCAATTTCTTTTTCAGCATCCTCAGCACTCAATGAATGGGAAGCTCTCAGTACAGAGGCTTCCCATTCAAATACTTACTATCAATAGTTTCTGAATGGGGAGGAGCCTCTGTACTGAGTGCTTCTCCCCATTGAGGAAATCTTGAATGAACACGCTGTGATGTAAATCACAGCCTGGTTATTCATAACTGGGGACACATAGTAGTATGTGTCCCCAGTTATTTACAAACACTGGAGTGATCAGATGATCGCTGTGCGCCCTGTGCGGCCGCACAGCTCGCACACCCCTAAGGCCGGCCCTGACCGGTTTATTCTGAAGTAAACTTTATGTCTGTAATACTGCATTTGTGTACTTTATTTTAAATAAATGATGGTGTTAATGTTTTTTAATTTTATCCGATTAATCAAAAAAATTATCGACCAACTAATCTATTATGAAAATCTTCATATCAGGAAAGTCAAACATCCTTACTTTCATAATTGTACCTGGTAAGCGTCACAAAGTCAAAAGGTAAACACGACAGCCAGCAAGTTAGTATTAGCAAAAGAAGAAGTAGCTATGGCACCATTTATGCTTCCCTTAGTAAAGGTTTTAAAGCAAATTCAGTCTTAGGCTTTGACACCTGAACCCACAGTAACAATCAATATATATTTGTACAAGTTATATATTGCTGGTGTTCATTGGGATTATATTACTTGTTCAAGCTATAAACTACATTTTACAAATGTCACACACAGGAGAGTGGCACAACTACAAAAAAAGTGTCAAACTATTGGCTTTAAACAGAGGTTAGCATTTACAAAGAAACAGCAACCCCCAATAACCCATGCTACACAGTATATGGTGAAATACCGTACTTGTTGAGTAAACATAATGGCAAACACCCTTACGGTACTACCAGCATATACTCATCAAAGGTGTAGTTTAAATCTTGGATTTCTCATTAGATATGCATCACATATAACATGCACACAAACGATTGAGCTAGCACAATTCTCTATCTGCAAGTAATGAAAAATACTAGCAAAACCCATTTAGCATAACTGTGTTGGGAAAAAGTACTCTTTTATGAATTCCACATGTGGGTTCTTCTCCATGTAATCATTTAATGTGCTATTTATTTCTGAATTTAACATATGCATAAGCCAAGAAGAAGCTCACATAACATATTATATTACCGATTGCAGGGCTCCAAATCTTTTCCCCCTGTGGTTTCCCTGGTTAAATGTGCACAGGACACGTATATTTTGTAGCAGAATGTTTTTCAATCTGGGTGTGGATAGAAGTTGCCTGAACTATGGTTTTATCTAAAATTTCCCACAGATAGCCTAACAAAAGCCAAAAGAAACATAGGAGGTTAGCGATATAACCAATACCGTAAGGTATACTATGAGAAACGAAATATCTGTTCCATTAGGAGGCCTGTGATGACCTGGTGTCCTGAGCTAAGCAATCAACACAAGGACAAATTACTGAGCTTGCAGTCTGAGAATTTTCTCTGAGCATAGTAAATATGAGGAAAATTCACTTTGCAAAGAATACCCATTTGACAAGCAAGGAAAATTAAGAAAAGTATATTTTTTCTTGAACGTGATTGGATGATGGAATTCAGCAGAGCTTCATCTCATTCACCAAGCTAAGGGGGATATTCCCTTCCAAAGTGAATAGCCTACTTCCTTTTGGTAAATCAATCCCACTATGTCTTATGGTGCTGCACTATCAAACCCACTATGTCTTATCATATACACTATATTACCAAAAGTATTGGGACACCTGCCTTTACACACACATGAACTTTAATGGCATCCCAGTCTTAGTCCGTAGGGTTTAATATTGAGTTGGCCCACCCTTTGCTGCTACAACAGCTTCAACTCTTCTGGGAAGGCTGTCCACAAGGTTTAGGAGTGTGTCTATGGGAATGTTTGACCATTCTTCCAGAAGCGCATTTGTGAGGTCAGGTACTGATGTTGGACGAGAAGGCCTGGCTCGCAGTCTCCGCTCTAATTCATCGCAAAAGGTTTTCTATCGGGTTGTGGTCAGGACTCTGTGCAGGCCAGTCACGTTCCTCCACCCAACTCGCTCATCCATGTTTTTTTGGACCTTACTTTGTGCTCTGGTGCGCAACGATGTTGGAACAGGAAGGGGCCATCCTTAAACTGTTTCTACAAAGTTGGCAGCATAAAATTGCCAAAATGTCTTGGTATGCTGATGCCTGAAGAGTTCCCTTCACTGGAAAACTAAGGGGCCAAGCCCAACCCCTGAAAAACAACCCCACACCATAATCCCCCTCCACCAAACTTTACACTTGGCACAATGCAGTCAGGCAAGTACCGTTCTCCGGGCAAACGCCAAACCCAGACACGTCCATCGGATTGCCAGACAAAGAAGCGCGATTCGTCACTCCAGAGAACACGTCTCCACTTCTCTAGAGTCCAGTGGCGGCGTGCTTTACGCCACTGCATCCGACGCTTTGCATTGCACTTGGTGATGTAAGACTTGGATCCAGAAGCTCAGCCATGGAAACCCATTCCGTGAAGCTCTCTACGCACTGTTATTGTGCCAATCTGAAGGCCACACGAAGTTTGGAGTTCTGTAGCTATTGACTCTGCAGACAATTGGCGACTTCTGCGCACTGTGCACTTCAGCATGCGCTGATCCCACTCTGTCATTTTACGTGGCCTACCACTTCGTGGCTGAGTTGCTCTTGTTCCCAGTTGCTTTCACTTAGTTATAATTCCACTAACAGTTGACTGTGGAAAATTTAGTAGCAAGGAAATTTCACGGAACACCTGAATCCAATGATTTGGAGGGGTGTCCCAATACTTTTGGTAATATAGTGTATTTACAGCCATAAAGGCAGTCATGTTATAAAAAAAGCTACATGTCTGCATTTGCTGACAATGCTAAAAGTAAAGAAAACGTCATATTTCACTGAACATGTGCTACTGTTCTTTATTAGTAAAACAAGTGAGATAATGTTTCAAAGTCTATACTTTTGGAAATAGAAAGGAAGTCTATACTTTTGTTACAGGAAATCACAGTTATAAGACAGTGCACAGTACGGGCTGGCCATAAACTATGAGATATACACCTGGTAACAGTGGACAGCAGAATATTTGTCTGTGCTTACACAAACTGCGTCAGCATTGGGCCCTGTTCATGGATTGGAATTGCAATGCAGATATTGGGCACAAACCACTAGCACCCTCTAGCAGGACAAATACCCACTATAATTGCAAATAATGCTCACAATTGGGAGCACTGCTTGTTTATATTGATCTATTTGAGCAGTTTATCGAGTAGAGCACTGGAAAGAGAAATTATGATGGGCGATGTACAGTAACCCAGAGTAACCAAGTTTAAGTTAATAGCAAGAAGTCTGATTGATGATCATAGTGTCTATGAATGCATCCCAGCCTATGATCGAGCAAGGTGTTGATCATCTAATATCTATGGTTCACCAGAAGCAAAAGCTAGCCGGGGCCTCTCAGGTAAAGTAGCAATCAGACAGATTGGAAAATTGTATCCGATTGCTACTGTTTTCCTCTCTGATAAGCCAGTGATACAACAATAATGTAGGTCCTCCATGGCCTAAACTTTAATGGCCACACAATGTGATTTTTCTTGTTTAGGGACACTGGTGTCAACACAGACCTCATTAGTCGTCATATCTGATCATCCTCCAATGTATATGGTGGCCTTAACCATAACACTAAACCTACTTTTAAAACCTTTCATATGATAAAAGCACTGGCAGGATGATCACCATACTGCTGTATGACGAAGAGTAACAATATCAGGGTTGAAGGACAATAACGTCAGAAAGACAGACTGTGTTAAAAGAATTGAACCTTTCAGCTACAAAGAAGTTCAACTAATTGGAAATACAATTATAATAAAAAGAGTTCTAAAATATACTTCACAAATTAAAACAGGTATAAAATGCTAATCAATTCTTCCATTCAGTAGCTAAAAGAATTGTACAACACTGCGAGAATGACAAGTGCAATGAAGCCTACAAGCAAAAATGCCCACTCCCATGACTCTGCAGATCCTATTAAAATTGTTAGACCGCATGTTACAAAGTGAACTCTTCAACTCTATTAAGTCCTCTCCACTTCTTTAGAAGGTGTGTACTATGTGGCAAGGTTAACTTTGTGGTAATTAGAAAGGAATTATGATGGAGTAGGCTGTTGAGATAATCAGTCTGAGTGATTCATTTACTTCTAGACCTTGTGAAAAGCAGCAAACACATTTCGCCAATTAAGGATGCTTTTGTTGGTGAATGGAGGCTTTCCGACAGCAGGTGAAGATGTGTTTACTCGAGACGAAGGAGGGAAAAAAAACTGCACTTTTTAATGGCAAGAGATTTCATCACCTTCGCCATTGTACTTGCAAGACTTCCCTTTGCAGTCAGAATGCTAATTTTTAACACGCAAGCATTTCTAGTATTCCTCGGAATGAAATATAGGCATGAGCAAACACAAATATTTGTTGAAATCTTATACAATGAAAAATGGCAAAATCCTATATCCACAGGCCAAGGTATTAGAAGCAGTTACTACACTGCACCACTAAATGCCTGTTTTAATAAGATATCTGTAAAATGAAGGTTCCTCAAATATGACTGCCCTTTCTCCTAAAATCTGCTGACACTCCAAGTTCTACGCCTGATTTCAAAAGTTCTCCTGAGAAATATTATGCTGAACTGATTAAACAAATATTTCTAGCGTGATAGAAAAAAAAAACCTCTACAACTGGTTTTACTGAAAGGCTTGACATGTTGAAAAAGGGTAAATTAAAACATGTAAAGCACAATGAGGGGAATTTCACCCAAACTGGAGCTGACAAAATCTGGAGCAGCTGTGCATCAGCTTCTAGCTTTCATTTTCAAATCTTAACTGAAGAAACTGAAGAGAGAAGCCGATTGGTTGCCATGGGCAACTGCTCCAGATTTTGTCTGCTCCAATTTTGATAAATTCCCCTCATTGTTTTTTTGTGCATTACTATTGCCATTCGGGGCAAAGTGGCAGGTCGTCTTTATAGTCTAAAAATATGGTAAAAATGGAAAAGCGCACTACATGAAGTAACAACTTCTGGGGACGTGGGTACAAATGGTTGAAAAACAGTGTGCAAGCTCTATGGTGAACAGGGTGAGGAGCCCTGTATGGAGGGACAATACACAAATCCTTTTTAGAGCGCTACTACTGTATGGATAAACTCACGTTTGAGGTGTCACTGTGTCTCAGGAAGAGGTCCTCTGTAATCCCTGTATAAAACGTAAAATAGCCAGGGTACAGGGTGGGGTAAAAATGGGGTGGATGGGTGCGTGCCTAGATGGACTTCGGCTGGCAAGAATGGTGAAATGCTGGGGCTTGTTCGGACTCAGCTGGCCAGGCTGAGCCGCAACAGCAGTGTGAGGTGTACGCTGAATGAATGTCAGTGGATCGGGCTGCACGGGAGACTGCAAATGGGTACAAAGGTACCGCGGTGTAGTGGAGTCAGCTGAATGCTCAGAGCCGTCTGTGAAAATGGTGCTCAGTGCGTTCAGATGGCGCTACGCGTTTCGAGGCCCCTGCCTCTTTGTCAAGCTAGAATAGACGTATTCCAGCTTGACAAGGCGTTTCGAGGCCCCTGCCTCTTTGTCAAGCTGGAATAGACGTATTCCAGCTTGACAAAGAGGACGGGGCCTCGAACAGCGTGCCACCATCTGAACGCACTGAGCACCATCTTCACAGACGGCTCTGAGCATTCAGCTGACTCAACTACACCGCGGTACCTTTATACCCATTTGTGGTCTCCCGTGCAGCCCGATCATTCAGTGTGCACCTCACACTGCTGTTGCGGCTCAGCCTGGCCAGCTGAGTCCGCACAGCCCCAGCATTTCACCATTCTTGCCAGCCGAAGTCCATCTAGGCACGCACCCATGCACCCCATTTTCACCCCACCCTGTACCCTGGCAATTTTACGTTTTATACAGCGATTACAGAGGACCTCTTCCTGAGACACAGTGACACCTCAAACGTGAGTTTATCCATACAGTAATAGCGCTCTAAAAATTATTTGTGTAAGGTCATCTTTATAGGGCATCCCCACACCCATTCATACTTCCCCAATGTTCCCCCTCCGCTCTGATCAACTGGCAGAACCCTCAGAAATACTCAGTTTGCCAGTTAGCCATAATTTTGCTATCTCCCTTTTGGCGGATGTCAGGATGTGTAGGGATAGTTTAAATGCGGTCCTGGAGAGGCCCATAGGTTTGCAGTTGAGAAGGGTGAATTTGGGGTCCTTGTTAAATGGACAAGTGTAAGAGAGAAGAGAACAGACAAAAAACACGGTCCCAAAACCTATCGGCAGTCGAGCACTGCCACCATATGTGGAAGAAGGTACCCAGCTCGGAGCATCCCCGGAAACAGAGCGGTGAGGAATTCAGTTGGGGTGTCATGACCCCCTGGGGTGCAGGTTATCCGGACCCACTGCTTTGTTTGCATTGAGCATTTTAAGTCTTTGTTGTATCCCGGTTTCTAAATGGGCATAACCCCTGTCAACTTTATCTGCCACTTGTCCATCTATTCCTGTTCTGGTGACAACCCAAAATGTGTGTTTTTATATCATTTCCAGTGACAACTGTCACCAAGACCAATAGAGAGGGTGAATCTCGTTAACGGGAACACAGACAGATTGAAAACCTGACACTGGTCTAATCCTACTTCACCCCATCAAAACTAAAAAAAGTTTTTGCTTCAGTTCTACTTTTGAAAGCATACACTATATTACCAAAATTATTGGGACACCCCTCCAAATCATTGGATTCAAGTGTTCCAATCACCTCCATGGCCACAGGTGCATAAAATCAAGCACCTAGGCATGCAGACTGCTTCTACAAACATCTGTGAAAGAATGGGTCGCTCTAAGGAGCTCAGTGAATTCAAGCGTGGTACCCTGATAGGTTGCCACCTGTGCAATAAGCCCATTCGTGAAATTGCCTTGCTACTAACAGCAACTCTGCCACGAAACATGACTGCTGAAATAAAAAGGGCATGGGCAACGCAGCATGGATATAGGTGGTGGTTAAGCAATGTGAGACTCTATATACAGTTAAGCAAATTTCAACAGAAGTTACACAAAAAAGGAAATGTAGTTTATGAGAATAGGGTTCTCAGCTGTCTGGGTAAAGCAGTAACGTTAAATGGGTATACAATGAGAGAACGAAGGACCAACTGTGTAGAGAAACAAAAACATTTACAGGAAGGTACTGCCCATTATAACTGCTTGACTTTTTAAAATCTTTTCCCCTCGTTCCTTGCTCCTGAGCACTGTCAACAAATTATTATTCCTTTTAGGTTTACCAGAGGAACTTCATAGACTTCAGCAGATTACAGTGAATGTTTTCAACAATAAAACTGTAGATATTTACAGGGCAATCACACAAATAATTGAGACATTATTGCTTACAAACAGCACATTGATTTGTTCATCCTACTTGTAATCTCAATTACTATGATATCAACAATGCAATTAACAAGATCATGCTGCTTAAAAGAGCTCAATAATAGCCAGTCCTCGGTTTTATCAACCTCCCCATGTGGTAACGTTGCAGTTACTGCCCAAACTCATGAAACATTAAATGCTAGAATAAACCACAACTTCACTATTCCATATCACAAAATATAAACTATCAGAGCTTTGACCAAAGAATGTAGTGAAAATTTTCGATTCTCTAGATTTCCAAACAAAAGATCTTTCTTTACTACCCAATAATGCCATTAGAGACTTGACGAATATCGAACAAAATTTCATTTTATTTTAACATTCGATTTTTAATTACGTTCATTTGAGAAAAATTTCCATCTTGCTCATTCAAAATTTTTCGTTTAATCATCGATTTGACCCCATCAACTAATAGAACGTCGAACAAAAGATCTTTTATACGAAAGTTCATTGGGAAATCTACTAGCGTATGGCCAGCTTAAGAATCAAATTCTCACTTATTCGCGAAGTAAGGCCTTAGAGGATGAGTAGATATTAAGTCCCTAACTTTAATTCTCTAACTTCTCTCGATCTTCAGCAGTCAGCAGAAACATTCCTGTTGTCAACCAGTTGGGTGTGCAAGGTATGATGGGAATACCACATAAAGTAGAATTACATGCAACTGTACATATTAGAGAATTAATAAGCAATGTTTCAATGTATTTGCTAATTGAATACAGTATATGGCCTAAAATGATTCCATCCGTTTCCTTAGATTCACATGGTTAAAAACGTAGTACTGCATCTTGACATTTTGCAATTAAAACTTGTATTCATAAAAACCAGTAACAGATCCATAACTGACCTGCTCAGGCAGATGAAGAATAGTATGTTCATCACCATTAAACTGGCACAGGGACTTGTATGCTGAAGAAGACACAACAACATCCTGACAGAAAAATGAACACATATTTTGAAACAAGAAAAGTTTATCCCAAATTTTGTTTTAACTCAACAGACTTATTAAAGTACCGGTTTCATATAAAATAAATATCTACAAACACTTTATGCCGATACACATTCTCATAATTGTACAACAATTAAGAAATTATATACCATAATAATATTTGCAAAGCAAGTAAAGAGATTTGCACCTAATCATTTTACCTTACTCCGAGTGTGATTCCAGAGGATGCTGATAACTTCAGCTTTAAATTTCTGCAAGAAAAACATTTGCAAACACAAAACCTGTTAAAAGAATATGGCAAATAAAATACAAAATGACAGAAACAAATATGTTTACAAGATAGCGACTAAAAAGATTATGAAAGATGTGTATACCTCATAGTCTTCTGTGTTAACAGTTAAGGAGGGAACCAAGGCAAAGAGCTCATGTAATACTTTGAGAACATGAGGGCGCTTCTCACATGCTAGCTTAGGAGACAAAGCATTCCAGGTAGAACGAATGTCCACTACCTGAGGATGAGAGTATGTACAAGAATTTAAATAAGTTACACTTTATCTACACATAGGGAATTAACACCCAACTGTTTTTTAATTTGTTTTTTTTCCCAATCACATTAGAAAAGAGTAGTAAAATGTAAAATTAAAAGGGAACTCTATCCAACTCTGTCCCTCATTTTGAACCAACAGGGTTATTCGAAAAAAGAGTTTGGAGAAGGCAGGAGAAGTGAACAATCTAGGACAACATTGCCGATTTGGAAAAATTCTCCAATTCAGCTCACTTTCCAGTTCAGCTATGTTGTCCTAGATTGTTCACTTCTCCTGCCTTCTCCAAACTCTTCACCCTTTGGTGAATAACCCTTCAATTCTCTCTGTCCCCATTTTCTCCTTAGTTCTCCCTCTTTTTGGCCGGATGTACAGAAAACTATGAACAGTTTTAGCATACATAAACATCATAAACAATGATATCAAAGCTGTACATACAGCTCTATAAACAAAAAAGGACTTAAGCACATTACAATCTGTGTTATGTATATCGCAAGAAATTAACAGTATACATCTAGACACACAGCGTATGTCAATCAGTCGTCTATTACAAACTATAAAGCGGTGGTCAAACCACCGTTCAGGCTCTGCCTGAACAAAAGAATCTTGTGAAGGATACTTAGTACAAAGAAGAGGGGGTGGAGGGGGAAAAGCAGAATAGATGACAGGGGAAACAGGCCTGGTGGAGGGTTAAATGATGAGTGAATCCAAATGGAAATTTGGGGGCATATAGGAAACAACCCAGGGCTCCCATATTTTTTCGAATTTGGGCAATGAATCTGACTGGATAGGTTTAACTGCTGCAAAGGGGACCGAGGTAGTACGCCATGAGCGTGCAATCACTCTTCTGGCTTCAGTTAGGATATGAGTGACTAGTTTCAATTGAGTCCACGAGCATGATACCAGTTTCTTCCCGAGTAACGCCTCAGTCGGATCCTTACGAAAGGAACGACCTGTTACCGTGTAAATTAGCCGATACACCCTAGACCAGAACCGCCTGATCTTGGGGCACCCCCACCATATGTGGAGGAAGGTCCCGTCAGTCTGGCACCCTCTAAAGCAAAATGGGGACCTGGAGGGAACTGGAGGGAACTGCACTGGCGATTCGCAGAGGAACCAAAGACCATCTCAGTAGAAGCTTAAAGTTCGCTTCCACTGCCCGTACACACGAAGGAAAGGGTACAATTTAACTAACACTAAAACCTTGATCTTATCTCTTATTAGTATAAAGGAAAAATAATGGTGGAATAAAAACAATTCTGGGTTTAACCAACCCCTTCTGCGGATAAATTGTTAATGGTCTGCATAATTGGGAGATAGAGGGAGTAGGTCCGTTGCCTAAATACATTGTGCTGGAAGGTGTCCCTGTGAAGCTCCTGTGAACTCCATGCCCAAGAGGGTTAAAGCAGTGCTGGAAAATAATGGTGGCCACACAAAATATTGACACTTTGGGCCCAATTTGGACATTTTCATTTAGGGGTGTACTCACTTTTGTTGCCAATGGTTTAGACATTAATGGCTGTGTGTTGAGTTATTTTGAGGGGACAGCAAATGTACACTGATATAGAAGCTGTACACTCACTACTTTACATTGTAGCAAAGTGTCATTTCTTCTGTGTCGTCACATAAAATGATATAATAAAATATTTACAAAAATGTGAGCGGTGTACTCACTTCTTTGAGATACTGTAGTATCAGCTTAACACATTAGAACGAAAAAATAAAATAAGACTTTTGCACTTACCCTAAAATCTTTTTCATGAAGTCCATTGAGGGACAGAAGAATTTTAGGGATTCTTAAAAAGTCGGGTTTTACTGCCGCCTACAGGAGAGGTTAGGACACCGGCAAACAAAAAACATAAAGCCAGCCCCTGTATAACCCTGAATCAAAACTCTATGCTTCAGTTTTGTGAGCAAACAGTACAAGAGCCAAAAACACAGAGGGGACGGACCTGTGTTCCTCAGTAAACTTCAAGATTTTACAGTAAAAGATTCTATTTTCTTTATTGTGCATTGAGGGAGGCCAATGATCAAAAAAGAATGTTACTTGAAAGACAACTTATCTCTTAAAAGATACACATGGCTGTGAGAGCCCTCGCATCATAAAATTTAATAGATAGAAGGGAAAACCTGAATCCTTCTTAAGGAGAAGGTAGGATGTTCAAAAGCCTGTGTACACAAGGGTAGGTAGGGGTGAGGATATATCATACCACAAACTGGCAAGGAAAAAACATCAGGACCAAAAAGATGAGAACACGTTCCTTTAGCCAACACCCGTAGCTGCTTTATCAGTGTCATAGCCATACTACAAACCTGCCTAATCAGGTATTAAGTTTATGGTTCTAGGAATTAATAAACTTACCCCTATAAGAGCAGAATCCTCTGCCTTAGTGCAAAGGGAAGGAATCCTAGCATTTGGAATATACCTAGTGCTGATAAGAGAATAGGATGAAGGATGGAATCTAAGGAGACTTCCTCAGAAGACTGCAACTTGGTCACAGAAGAAGAACTATCTTCCAGTAAACTGGTCCCACAAAGGTCTTTGGACCTTTACTATCTCACTTAGGGGAAAATTGCAGCAGGGTAAAGTATGTCCTGCCTACTGTCCCTACAGGGAAGTAAAGCGATGGATACTTTATTGCAAGAAAGAAAGAAGGGGCATTCACGTCCAGCAGCCTCACTGTTCAAAGTGAGGATCATTAGAAGAGAGAAACTGAAAGACAATATCTTGAGTCTAGGAAACACAGTGTGGTCGCTATTGACCACACCACATACTACTCAGCAGGGGGTAAGATTATTTAAATCCTTCTGGGAGGTGAAGATCTTGCAGCTTTCAGATGAAGTCCAGCAGAGGTCATATCAGAAGACTGAATAACATAGGGATTCGCCGATGACTCTGGAACCGTCTCTAATGAAGAACAAAACTCAAGGAGTATGTATGAGGATACATCTGTTAGCACAGTCCTCCCAGGAGAGGGGAATGAGCCCATCCCCACCCTGGCCAAAGTCTGGCAAAAAGCAGGCAAGACTTCTTAGTCTACAGAAACCAGCTTCCCAAGTTCCAGCCTCCCTTACGCAAAAGGGAGAGACTGCACAAGAAGGGGGAACACAGGCTGGCCACTAGTACTTTTGGGACTTTAAAGGGCAAGTTAATTAGATGTTCCTTGGACGTTTAGAATTAAATGGAGATAAATTAAGTATAGATAAAAACAATACAGGAAGAAGTAGTAGTGGGGTAATTAGTGGGCTCACTCCAGTCAACACAGTTAACTTAGTCAAAACAGTCAATATAGGAAATCCTCTGGCCCAAGTGAATATAATTACAAATAAAAGACCTATATCAAGGCCGGACAATAAAAAAAATGGGGAAGAAGAAGTAAACTTTTGTCCCGTAACAAGACAGTAATTAAATGTATGTACACCAACGCTAGAAGTCTAGTAAATAAATTAGAAGAACTTGAAATTAGGCTACTCGAACAGGACTTCAACATAGTGGGTATAGCAGAAACCTGGCTAGACAGCACACATGATTGGGCTACTAATATAGAGGGGTATAACCTGTTCAGGAGGGACAGATGTGGGAAAAGGGGGGGGGGGGTTTGCATCTATGGTAATAAAAATCTAAATATGCATATAAGGGACGATATCACGTCAAATAATGGAAAGGACGTGGAAGCCTTATGGCTGGAGCTAGATATAACTGACACTAGCCGTAAACTTATTATGGGGATTTGCTACAAACCTCCAAATATAGGGGAGGAAGGGGAAGCGAATCTACACTCCCAAATAGAAATAGCTGGGAGGGAGGGAGGGCAATGTAGTCGTGATGGGTGATTTCAATTACCCAGACATCAATTGGGCTAATGGTACCTCAGGTTCAGCAAAGATTTCTGAACATGTTGCAAGACAATTTTATGGACCAGATGGTGGAGGTTCCAACTAGGAAAGATGCCATCCTAGATTTAATTGTCACTAATAATGCAGGGTTAATTGAGGATATTGTAATTGGGGAGGCACTGGGCAATAGTGATCACAATGTGATTACTTTTAATATTGAATACAGGAAATAGAGGTGTGCTGGACGGACTAGAAACCAAAATTTCAGAAAGGCCAACTTTGATAAGCTGCGCAACCTAGTGGGGGAAACAAAATGGGAAAACCTATTTCACAACCGAAACCTGGACCAGATGTGGGACTGTTTTAAAAACACATTACATATTGCTATTTCAAAGTGTATACCTTTGGGTAGCAAAAGCAAAAGACTAAACCAATATGGCTGAATAAAACTGTAAAACAACACGTCAAGGACAAGAGGGAGGCATTTATAAAATATAAGATGGAAAGGACGGCATTAGCGTTCCATAACTACAAAGAATGTAACAAAAAATGTGAAATAGTAATTGAGTGCGAAAAGCACATCGCCACAGTTAGTAAAACAAAAACCCCAAAATTCTACCAATATATTAACAGTAAAAAGGTGAGAAAGGAGCAGATAGGCCCAATAAAGAACGGAAGCGGAAAGTTAGTCACAAATGACAAGGAGAGGGCCGAGGCACTGAATACTTTTTTATCCTCAGTATACACTAAGGAGGGAAACGGGTTTCAACACAAAATATACCCCAGTAGTTGACGGAAACCGGGGTACGACAAAGACTTAAACTACTAAATGCAAATAAAGCAGTGGGTCCAGATAACCTGCACCCCAAGGTACTTAAGAAACTAAGTGAGGTTATAACAAGACCATTATTCCTCATTTTCAAAGACTCAATAATGACTAGTAGAGTCCCAAGTGATTGGCGGAGGGCCACGGTAGTTCCAATATTCAAAAAGGGGGCAAGATGCCAACCTTGGAACTATAGGCCGGTCAGTCTAACATCGGTGGTTTGTAAACTGCTAGAGGGCATAATTAAGGACTATTTGGTAGAATTTATTAAGGATAATGGCATAGTTAATGACAATCAGCATGGGTTCAGGACTAACTTGCTAACCTTTCATAAGGATAAGGACTAAATTGATTACCTTTCATAAGGGGGTAAGTAGAGATATGGATGGAGGGAGGCCGGTAGATGTGGTATACCTGGATTTCTCAAAGGCATTTGACACGGTACCACATAAACGATTACTACACAAGCTAAGATCTATGGGCATAGATGAAGTGGTGTGTACGTGGATAGAGAGCTGCCTATGGGAACGGGCCCAGAGAGTATCTATAAATGGCACCTTTTCAGACTGGGCTAATGTAAAAAGCGGTGGGCCTCAGTGTTCTGTGCTGGGACCCATATTGTTTAACCTGTTTATTAATATCGGGGAGGGTGTGAATAGCCATATTTCAGTGTTTGCAGACGATACAAAAATAGGGAGGGTATTAGAAACGGACCTAGACAGTATAGCATTACAGGAGGACCTGGATAAAATAGGGGAGTGGGCGAATATATGGCAGATGAGGTTTAATGTCGATAAATGCAAAGTAATACACTTTGGAAATAAATAAAAGCAAATGGGTTATGCTAGGGAACTAGGGAAGACTAGGGAAGTCAGAAAAAGACTTGGGGGTCATTGTAGACCACAAACTAAAGGGTAGTTTGCAGTGCCAGGCTGCTGTAAACAAAGCAAGTAGGGTCTTGTCCTGTATCAAGAAGGGGATGTACTAGAGAGACTAGTCTATAATTGTGCCACTTTATACAGTATTGGTTCGGCCACATCTGGAGTACGCGACCCAGTTTTGGTCACCATGTGACGGACTCCCTGATACCCCGACTGGATATCTCCGTCTACGGCCTGTTCCCTGGGTGCTGGAACCATAAGCGGTGACTATAGCATGGAAGGCTTACTCCAAGAATCAGACAAGACTGACTTTGGAGTGAAACAACAACTGCTTTGAAAGCTAGGTGCCGCATTGTATTGTCTTAATTAGAGAGGAGCTTAATCCCATCACTGTAACAATGGCCCCTCCAGCCAACCTGCTGCCTTTAGAAGAATGGTTACCATCAAGTCACATAGTGACCGGCTCTCCCCAGATAACATAGTAAACTGTAAAATACCCCCAGCACACACAGTTCTCCGATAAACCAATATGGCTGAATAAAACTGTAAAACAACACGTCAAGGACAAGAGGGAGGCATTTATAAAATATAAGATGGAAAGGACGGCATTAGCGTTCCATAACTACAAAGAATGTAACAAAAAATGTGAAATAGTAATTGAGTGCGAAAAGCACATCGCCACAGTTAGTAAAACAAAAACCCCAAAATTCTACCAATATATTAACAGTAAAAAGGTGAGAAAGGAGCAGATAGGCCCAATAAAGAACGGAAGCGGAAAGTTAGTCACAAATGACAAGGAGAGGGCCGAGGCACTGAATACTTTTTTATCCTCAGTATACACTAAGGAGGGAAACGGGTTTCAACACAAAATATACCCCAGTAGTTGACGGAAACCGGGGTACGACAAAGACTTAAACTACTAAATGCAAATAAAGCAGTGGGTCCAGATAACCTGCACCCCAAGGTACTTAAGAAACTAAGTGAGGTTATAACAAGACCATTATTCCTCATTTTCAAAGACTCAATAATGACTAGTAGAGTCCCAAGTGATTGGCGGAGGGCCACGGTAGTTCCAATATTCAAAAAGGGGGCAAGATGCCAACCTTGGAACTATAGGCCGGTCAGTCTAACATCGGTGGTTTGTAAACTGCTAGAGGGCATAATTAAGGACTATTTGGTAGAATTTATTAAGGATAATGGCATAGTTAATGACAATCAGCATGGGTTCAGGACTAACTTGCTAACCTTTCATAAGGGGGTAAGTAGAGATATGGATGGAGGGAGGCCGGTAGATGTGGTATACCTGGATTTCTCAAAGGCATTTGACACGGTACCACATAAACGATTACTACACAAGCTAAGATCTATGGGCATAGATGAAGTGGTGTGTACGTGGATAGAGAGCTGCCTATGGGAACGGGCCCAGAGAGTATCTATAAATGGCACCTTTTCAGACTGGGCTAATGTAAAAAGCGGTGTGCCTCAGTGTTCTGTGCTGGGACCCATATTGTTTAACCTGTTTATTAATATCGGGGAGGGTGTGAATAGCCATATTTCAGTGTTTGCAGACGATACAAAAATAGGGAGGGTATTAGAAACGGACCTAGACAGTATAGCATTACAGGAGGACCTGGATAAAATAGGGGAGTGGGCGAATATATGGCAGATGAGGTTTAATGTCGATAAATGCAAAGTAATACACTTTGGAAATAAATAAAAGCAAATGGGTTATGCTAGGGAACTAGGGAAGACTAGGGAAGTCAGAAAAAGACTTGGGGGTCATTGTAGACCACAAACTAAAGGGTAGTTTGCAGTGCCAGGCTGCTGTAAACAAAGCAAGTAGGGTCTTGTCCTGTATCAAGAAGGGGATGTACTAGAGAGACTAGTCTATAATTGTGCCACTTTATACAGTATTGGTTCGGCCACATCTGGAGTACGCGACCCAGTTTTGGTCACCATGTGACGGACTCCCTGATACCCCGACTGGATATCTCCGTCTACGGCCTGTTCCCTGGGTGCTGGAACCATAAGCGGTGACTATAGCATGGAAGGCTTACTCCAAGAATCAGACAAGACTGACTTTGGAGTGAAACAACAACTGCTTTGAAAGCTAGGTGCCGCATTGTATTGTCTTAATTAGAGAGGAGCTTAATCCCATCACTGTAACAATGGCCCCTCCAGCCAACCTGCTGCCTTTAGAAGAATGGTTACCATCAAGTCACATAGTGACCGGCTCTCCCCAGATAACATAGTAAACTGTAAAATACCCCCAGCACACACAGTTCTCCGGGGCAATGAATCTTTGCAGCCCTAGGTCCGTCACACACCAGTATTAAGAAAAGATGTCCTTGAGCTGGAGAGGGTCCAGCGGAGGGCAACTAAACTAATTAGGGGAATGGAGGACCAGAGCTATGAGACAAGGCTACTAAATTTAAACATGTTCACGTTGGAAGTAAGGAGATTAAGTGGGGATATGGTTTTCATGTACAAGATGTTCAATGGCGACAGCAACATTGGCAACAAACTCTTTAAGATTAACTCAGTTACAAAAACTAGAGGCCACCACCTAAAATTGGTGGAAAACAAATTCCAGCACAAGGGGCAAAGGGGGTTCTTCACGGTACGAGCGGTTAGGGTCTGGAACTCACTGCCATCTGCAGTGATTTCAGCCAGGAGTGTGGAATTGTTCAAAAAACTCTTGGATGATTTCCTGAGGGACCGTAATATACAGGGGTACAAGTACTCCTAAGAAAGAAAGAGATGATGCCGGACCTATATAGGTTGGACTTGATAGACTTATGTCTTTATTCAACCCCTAATACTATGTAACTATGTATCCCTGATGTCCCAGGCACATAGCCCAAATGCCCTTCTCATATGAACAGATATCACTCTCATGTGAGGCCCAACCTTTTATGCTTGTAAGAGGCCATCACCGCTGAAGTTCGGAGCTCTAGACATTTGTTGGAAAAGTTCCAGACATGAGGGTTTGTCCTTGAGATGAAGGGATCTGCATAGTGACAAAGTTTCACAAATCAAAGTCACCTCTATTAGAGGAAGGAGAGTCACTCCAGTTAATTCAAACTGAGACCTAAATATGGAGTCTTCCTGTCCGTGAAATCCCTAAAGGTAGTAACACCATCAAACTGTTTGGTGGTATGCTTGTTAAGATGCATGACTGGGTTGTCTACAATAGACACAGACCACTTTGCAATAAATTGTCTTTTAAATGGAAACCTCTTCTTCAAATTTCAAGAAGGGGACCATGATTCCATAAGTTGTTTGCAGTCCTCGTAAATACATCTTTTACCAAGTGTATTGTGAAGATCTTTGCAGGTGGAGCTTTGGAGCTCTAAAATGCCCTAGACCTGGAACAGCAGGCTGATTCTCTAGATTCAGGGTAGAACGTACTGCATCAATCAGGCTAGAAACAGCTCCTTGTAAATATGGAATTTGCTCAAGTACAGATTCTTAAGGAGCAGACTGTAAGTAAATGTTACACCGCAGTAATAAACGTAGGCGTAAAGTGAGGCAAGGCCTGACATGCAACAAACCAAAGCAGCTGGAGTGGATGAGGGTCCCAGGTGGTTGGAGGTGACCAAGTCACTAAAGGTGGGCAGTGGAACCAGACTGGAGAATGGATAATCCACAAGGTGCTTCAGAAGCAGGAAAAGCAACAGGATGGTGCTTTGTCTAGGCTGAATGGTATGAGAAAGCTTGTTGTACACACAAGTGCAACACTCCACTGAGCAGATTATGACGTCAGTGTTCAATCCCCTGTACCAAGTGCGCTCTCCCAGGGCCTTGGACTTGAAGAGTGTTCTTTGACTAACTATCACAGTACACAATGGTTTGAAAAAGCAGAGCCCACTGCCTAAAGGTCACATTCCAGGCTAGCCCGCAATCTTCGGTCCAGATGATCTTTGGACGATCCATATAGCTGTTGTGTAGAGACCAGTTCAAGTAGCATTTAGAAGTCATAACTGAAGTTAAAAAAACCAGAGTATCTTGATGCAAGAAAAAATTAAATAATGAAAAAAGTAATAAGGCTAGCAATTTTATCCAAAAATAAAGTGTCCAAACTGTTGCCAGCGTTCCAACCTCCTGTAGGCTGCAGTATAACAAAGCTGTTTAAAAATCCTTAACACACCTGTGTCCCTCAATGGACAATAAAGAAAAATAACTTACTTGGGAACTGCAAAGCTTTCTGTTCAAAAACAAGTTCACATTCACTGACCTCAGCTTGGCACAGAGCTTGAAGACCCTGTAATACCAGGGCAACAGGAGTGGCTTGGTCAGGATTTGGGCATTCATTCAAAACTTGAGTGATAGCAGCTAGCATGTCTGCCCCATGTTGGTAAGGCCTGTAAAGCCAAAAAAACACAACATAAACTAAACATGCACAACCAACCCATATGAATCATTTATTAATGGCATACACTATAAAAAAAGGGTGAACAATGTTTTCTATCAACCTGTGACCTCTTTCTTATATTTTATGGATATGCGGGACAATGTTTTATCAGTAAAGATTCAAAATGCCATGGGAAATGGACAGTCTTATGGGTAAAGGCTTCCAAGTGAATTAAGTTGTTATGGTACAATGGGTACCCAGAATGTAAAAGTTAATGTATCATGGGAATGGTGACTGCCATTGCAGGCCCTCATTTGAAAATGACAGTTGTATCTGGCTCCAGTATGTTTTGAGTCACATGCCCAGAACCAGTGGCGTAACAACCGGGGGTGCGGGGGGGTCACTTGCCCCGGGCACAGGACTGAGGGGGGGCGCCGTCACGACCCCCGCTAAACGAAGAAACAAATTTCATTCTCAGACCACAGACGCAATGTCAGCCCCCATACATTTCTCCTGACAGAGAAATTGTAAATTGCATTTCCACTTTTGCAGCTGAGATAACGCCTGATTTTTATTTTCACATGCTCCCATTCACAAAGCATAAGCTAAAAGAAAATATAAACATGCTTCTTTCGGCTTAAATTGCTTTCTAAGTGTTACAATTTGTACTTGCATCTCATTCTTTGTAATGTTCGGAGGGACTGTGAGGGGATTAAGGATTACATTCTTGGATTCTCCATTGTATGTTAATGAAGTTAATGAGCGAAACACAATGTTCAAATTACAGTCCTAAGTCTTTCTACAGTATAAGGACAGATCACTGTGAAGGTGCTTAGAAAAGAGTGGAATAAGCCATTTTGCAACAAAACATCTAAAAGGTAAGAAATATTTTTTGTAAAATTATTTTTCGGTATGCTGTGTGAATAGGGACACATAACAAACATATAGAGTGGTTTTCTCAAATTTGACCGCAAAATTTGAAATACACTTTAAAGGACAAGGTGTAAGGAAATTATCATCAATAAACGATAATAGACCACACTTCTACACATTTTGGTACAATACCTTACCCAAGGCTGAAGGATGAAGGTTTATATAATGTGTTTGGTAAAATCGCTTCTCTGTCATTCTGTGAAAAATTTGATAGTCCTTCATATACTAGCACACACACACAATTTGTGTCAATCAAAATAACAGGATTTTTGTCTTACCTGTAAAATCATTTTCTTGGAGTAAATCACAGGACATAGGATGGTAATGCTGAAACACATGGGATATGCAGCTGCCTTCAGGTGACTGGAAACTGGCAAAGCAAAGCTGTAAGGACAGCCCTGTATGACCCCTCCCACGCCCAGCATGCCTTCAGTTTTGTAGCAGGCAATAACCAAAAAGCATCATAGATAAAGGGAGGATGGAGAAGATGGACCTGTGCCTTGTGACGTACAAGAAAAGGATTTTACAGGTAAGACAAAAAACCTATTTTCTTAAAACGTACATCAAAAAGGACACAGCATGGCAGTCCTAGAATAACAAGATCGGAAAAGGCCCAACAGTTCACAGAGTTGTCTGAAGACATCTGCGACAGAAGCTAGCATCCAGTAAGGCCTGGATGTCTGGTAAAACCCAAAACATTAATGAACTGAAGACCAGGTGGCAGCCACAAATCTGAGAAGCCAAAGCCCAATGCTGAAAAGCCCAGGATGCATCAACACTTACAGTGTAATACAGTGCACCTTGACAGGAAGAAACCAGCTGACTCTTGTGGGGGCCTTCTAGAATAACAAACAGTCTATAGCTGAGAGGTAAACTCATACAGGATGCACCATACCCAGACAATGTAGAAAATAGGGACCTCCTCTACACCTGAAAGTGTAGAGGAGGTCCCTGAACTGGATAGCAACTCAGGATGCTGTCAACAGTGCAGACTAGCAGAGTCAGGGCCTCTAGGGGGGAGGATACATTTCGCCTCTAAACCGTAAGTTGGATGAGAACTGGTAGAGTCCACTGACCCCTTCCCCTTGTGCCTATGATCCGCCATGAGTAGTGAGGGGTAATATGCAATGGATACTCACAACCTTAACTGGTCACAGGAAGCAATCGCAGGGAGCGCTGTACTGTAAGTCCTGTATGCAGACAGGCAGGTATATTGAGGAACAGTCAGTCAACATGTGGTGAAATAGCATGCATGGACTGTGCAGTGGAGGAAGGAGACTTCAGAGGCACTCTAGTCGCTGCAGAAAAGGCACCAAATTTAAAACTGAAACCAATGCCGCACTGTCCCTCACCAGTGGTTGTGGACTGGAGAACAGCAGCACACTGGGCCCCTTGTTTGGGCAGAAGTTCTGGCTCACCTTGCAGTCCTCCCAAGAAAGTCCATGGTGGATGAAGGGACAAGCCCCGATTAGACCTTTCTCTCCTGGTGGTCTCACCCTCTAAGGGGACTTCAGGGATAGGACTCCACCAGCAGATGGACTATGGTCCTGGACCTGTATAGCAACCATCAGCTAACTCAGGAGGAGTTAGCTGATCAAGAAAGCTACAAAAGGGGTGCGGCAATGGCAATGTAGCAGCTAGGAATCTTGCTTGGAGACTGATAATAAATAGAGAAAAAAAAAAGAAATGGATTTGCTCGTCTCAGAGAGAAAAGACATCTGTTCATCTAAGGACACTAGTAAAAAACTAAAGGCATGTTTGGAGTGGGATGGGTTAAACAGTGCTGTTCTTATAGCTTTGCTTTGGCAGTGTCCAATCACCTGAAGGCAGCTGCATAACCCACTGGTTCTAGAATTACCATCATGTGTTCTGTAATGCACACTTAAGAAAATCACATTTTAAGTCCATTTTAAAAACAAACTTTTTTTTTTTTTTAGTATATCCTAGACAATCAAGCAAGTTTTCATACGTACAGGTTTGCATGCCCCTGGTTTATGCAATTTTAAATAACAATTTTCTATCATAGTAAACTAAACTCAGGAGCCAGACACCTCTGGTTTAAGTGTACCAAAATGCAGGCAACCAGAATAATAGAGGTCTATGGGATATTTCACCGACAACTGCTCTGAGAAGCATACCGCTGTCAAACTTTTCCCTTTAGAGGTTTTGCCGGAAAAGAAGTGCAATGCACACAAATACTAATCTGACTCCCACGTAGAGATTTCTAAAACTTGGGAGTTGATCCCTAATGAAATTTATGTGTTTATTTAAACCACAGACATTTCAAGCATAAATCTCCAAAGTTTTGGAATAGCCCTAAAATGAGGAAGGACCTATAGATATGAATAAGGAGCAGGAGAACTAAAAGGGGTGCAAACAATAGCTTATTTTTCACATACAAATTGAACTAGAAGTGAAATTCTGGGTTATACGGAATTGAAAAGATCATTTCTAAACTGCAGGTTGCAGGGCATAGATCACACAGTTATAAAGAAATGTTTTCCTGGTGTTTTGGATAAAGTGAGAAGGAAGTAAATTGCATTTTCAAAGCTCATATTTTATATTGTACATTTTAATTATTTGTTAAAGCAAAAATAAAAAGTAAAATAAATACATACATAAATAGGAGGTGCGAAATGCCCAATGGTTTGAATATACAGGATCAATATTTGTGTACACAGCATCAGACTAAGACAAAAAGCAAAGTCAGCATGCCTTCAGCTGCAATGGTTTGTACGCAATATGGTTTTAAGTTGCTTTGCCTTGCTTTTCTATTTCTTTTCACATTGATATACTATGCCATGGATTGTTTTTGTGGGGGCAGAAGCAGTTCAAAGACAGCAGAAAAGGACATGGTGCATTTAGCAAGGCACAGAGCAAAGCAAGAAAAAGTCAATGCAGCGAAAAAACACAAGTCAACATGGCTCCATCAGATCCGAATTAAAATTCAAACATGGCTCCATCAGATCCAAATTAAAATTCAAACATGGCTACATTAGATCCGGATTAAAATTCAAACATGGCTCCATCAGACCCGAATTAAAATTCAAACATGGCTCCATCAGACCCGAATTAAAATTCAAACATGGCTCCATCACATCCGAATTCAAATTTTAAACACTGAATTCCAAGATCTTTCAAAGTGCTTTTAAAGGAGAACTATGAGGTGAGTGCTTTTCACTCACCTCATAGTTCTAGCCGACCTGTGACAATGAGACTGTCACAGGTCGGCTCAGTAGATTGGGAGGTGAGCGAACAAATGCCGTTCGCTCACCTCTCGATCCTGTCACGGCTCTCTGTCGTGACAGGGGAGGGGATGGATTCCCCCCTCCGATCCACCAGCGCTGACTGGCGGAACAGACAGGGGAAGGGCGGGTACAGCTGGCTCTGCCTCTAGATAGGCAGAGCCAGCTGTCACTCACGCAGCTGGGCGGATCTCGACATCGATGTCAGGATCCGCTCCGGCGTCTCAGTATACCGCGAGCTGTAGCTCGCGGTATACTGAGCTTAGGGTGATGGGAGGACGCTAGTTTGTGTCCTCCCGTTACCCTAAGGAGAACTATGGGGAAAAGCCCTGACTCCATAGTTCTCCTTTAATACACGTCCGAAGCAGAAACATCTGTTTTGGTCGCATTGTTTGCTAAAGTAGGATATACACGGTTAACATTTTGCACAAACTACATAGATTCTGGAACGTTCTTTCGACTTTCTATTAGTCGATGGTGTCATATCGATGATCTCAGCCGCACTGATGAAAAAAGTTGAAGGAGCATGTTGGAAAATGTTTCTCTATCGATTAAAATTATAACAGTGAATGTGGTTTTTATTTGGGAAACTTCATTTATTCTAAAATAGAATGTTAAATCAAAAGAAAAACCAAAGTAAATTTCGAAAGACATTCGTCCAGTGTCTGAATGGCATTATTGAACGTCCCGACGAGATTTTTCCCACAAACGTTTGTTAGAAAATCTACCCGTGTATACCCTACTTTACTCAGCCTTGTGTAGGGTGCATAAAAGCTAACTGAACTCAAGGTAGTCCTGCTATAACTTTGGAACAATGTTTTGGCTGCTGACAATAAGCAGCTAAGGACCCAAGTTTACCTCTGTCTGCATATATCCCGGATAGTTGCTGCTTTCGCAACAGTTTTCTCCCACTGGGTTTCTTTGCCAGTTGATAAACACTGGGAATCAGCAGCAGCAATTAGCTTCTGGAGCTCCGGATAGACTCTATCCTGGAAAAAAATGTGCAGAGCGGATTAATCTCGGCCTCATGTACCAAAGTGTCAAAGAGAATTGTCTCATAAAATGTAGATCACCCCACAACCATCTCCCTTCAGTTTTCTCATTGCTACAATACAAAGAGGCATTGGATTTATGAGGAACATGGCTTCTTAATTCTTTTCTGATGTTTACAAGGAGTGTGTGCCCATAAGCCAGGTTAGCTTAGGCCAGGTTTGAGCTTGGTTCAGGTAAGAGGTAGGGGAGAAGGATGTCAGTAAAGATTATCTTCCCCCCACTATGTTGAAGAAGGTAATGAAATACAATGAGTGGCCAGATTATTATGACCACCCCATCAGTACTTCATTGGGCCACGAGATGACTCCACGAGATGACTTCGTTGGGCCGTGTCATGACTCCACGAGATGTTGAAAGGTGATGCGAGGAATCTAATATATATATATATTTATTAGGGATGCACTGATATATCGGCTTGAAAATTGCACTTTTGGCTAAATGCCGAAAGTCCCATTTTCCTGCCAATATATCGGCGCATCCCAGGTTTCTTTCCTCCTCACTGGGCGCTGCTCTGTTTCTCAGCGGGGAGGAGAGAAAGTGACAACCGGCCGAGCGCTGCGGGAGGAGAGCGCTGTGAGCAGCGAATGTCTCTCCTCGCACACAGCTCAGCCTCCTATCACAGTCTGGCAGAGCGGTGTGGGGGCGGAGACAGCGCGCGCTGTCACAGGAGGCTGAGCTCACCTCCCGCACCGCTCGCTTAGCCTCCTGTGACAGCGTGTCAGAGAGGAGAGCGGGCACAAGCAGTTGGGATCAGTGATCGCTGCGTGTTTGTAATTTCTTTACATCAGTCACATTGTATATTGTGGCAGCCACACTACTAACATTCATCCTAGAACAGAAATATATAGTGAAATAAGAAAAAAAATAATTGGTCCAGCCCATCCAGGATGTCATATGCCACAGAGTATTCATTTAATCATGAAGGATTTAGTAACTATACCAAATATTTTCTGCTGGTTATCTTAGTTAGTAAGTGCAATGTAATACGATAAAATGAATACAATGATAAATGTTTCAGTCTTAATGAACTTCAGCATACTCTTAATACCTGTTTTTCCCACAAAGATGTCATAAGGCGCAAAACAACTGGTTGAAGCTTCGATGCGCTGCCAATCATCTGCAAGGATCGAAGGATCTGAGGCACACATACCTATTGGTTAAGAATGATGCCGCATTATTATTTATTATAGGTATTTATAAAGCGCCAACAATTTATGCATCCTTTATTACAGTATCTTTTCCATCTAATTTTGGAATGTCAAATTCCTATGAGAATTTGGGTTTGTCTTTTAAACCTACCCCCGATGATGCGGATAATGGCTGTTACTACATTTATCTCACACCCCTCCTGTTTTAAAGGAGAACTATGAGATGAGTGATTTCTACTCACCTCATAGTTCTAGCCGACCTGTAACAATGAGACTGTCACAGGTCGGCTCAGTAGATCGGGAGGTGAGCGAACACATACCAGGTTCGCTCACCTCTCGATCCTGTCACGGCTCTCTGCCGCGACAGGGGGAGGGGCTGGATTCCCCTTTCCCCGCTCCGATCTGCCAGTGCTGACTGGCAGAATGATCAGGGGAGGGGGCAGGTACAGCTGGCTCTGCCTCTAGATAGGCAGATCTAGCTGTCACTCACGCAGCTGGGCGGATCCCGACGTCCAGGTTGTGATCCGCTCCGGCTGCGGCGTCTCAGTATACCACGAGCTGTAGCTCGCAGTATACTGAGCTTAGGGTAACGGGAGGACGCTAGTTTGTGTCCTCCCGTTACCCTAAGGAGAACTATGGGGAAAAACACTGACCCCATAGTTCTCCTTTAAGCTTCCAATTTTTGGGGAGGGTTTTTGCTCTTTTTTGGGAAATAATCTGATTGACAAGTTGTAAAACCTGCTTTTGAGGGTGCATACAGCCAAATGGACCTCATGTCCCACTGGGGTTAGTAGTAACAGGAAAACTGAGGACTATTGGGGAAGGAGCAAGGGGTGGCAGAGGTGGGTTAAGGGAAGCAGAAGGGGTAGGGAGAAAGGGAGAAAGAATGGAAGGGATGAAGAGAGTAGAACGAACGGGACGGCAGTGGTAGCAGGAGCTAGTGATAGCACCGAGCTGGGTGGTTTTTCAAATATCTCCCACCACAGTTTATATTGCCTTGTGGTATCATTTTTAAGAAATCATTAGCAATGTTTAGCAACCCCCAGGAGAACGACTTTTCCTTGGCTTGGCATACTAAAACACTTTGCATATACCTACTTAACATATTAAATGTCTTGGCTTTCCACTGCTTTAGACGCAGATATGTGTAGTCCTAGCTTATTGTTATTACACTATATTAAGCCTATGAACAAATGCTCGAGGTGGTTGCATCTCAGATACGTCTCTAATGTTTTGCATGATGAGTACAAATTCACACTCAAAACTCAGAAAGCACCATGTTTGTGTTCTGACCTATGTCTAAAAGTCCTGCATTTGAATTCATGAATATGCACAAAAGTATGCGTCACACATAAATACCATAGACACTTAAGTTAAAGCATTTATCAAATTTTAACTATGTAATCTCATTATAAACAAAATCACTGTATATATGGGTTTGTGCTCCTTCCTGAAATCTCGGTTATTAAAATATAAAAAGAAATAACATAGGTACCTTGTGTGTCCCCAACATAGGAAGAGTGTACAAAATTTCTCGCAGTAACTTAGGCTCCAATGGGCGTCCAAGTCTAAACATCAAAACCGGCACCAAGTAAGGAACCTAGAATTAAACATGATGAATTAGAAATCCCCCCAAATCGTACTTCATAAGGTAATTATACTGTAAATACAAATAAAAAACACAAAGATTCAAGATACATATATAGAAAAAAGAGGGTATGAGCTGTGACACCAATTCTAGTCTGACAACAGAACTTTGTGGTTCTCTTTAGCCCACCACAACCAGGCGGTTTCTATTTTTTTGTTCATCTCCAGCACCAACTCCATAGATGCATGGTTTCTATATACTGCACTGATAATTGCCAACAAGCACGAGACAGCCAAATGCTGTCTGAATATTTGGCTCCATAATAGTCTATCTGTGCTATATAAAGGCTATGGATGCACAATTGCCCCAGGAGCAAAAAGGCTCTGCTCACTTTTCTAATATGAGCAATAAACATCTTAATATTTTAGAAAGCTCTACTATGCTTAGTCCAGTATAGTCAAATTCCAGAGGAAATACTAATGTTTGCGAAAGGACTGCAGCAACCATATTCACTTACAAATGTGTGCAACAAAAGCACAATGCAATCAAACACACAGCACTAATTATCAATCATATGTGACTCTCTTGTGCTCAAAACGCCAATATACACAAGAGTGTCACATATGATCGATAATTGTGTTTTATTGCATTTCAATTTGGGTTTCTGTTCACAGCAGCTTCCTATCGTGTAAATTAACTACCAAACCCTTAGCGCAGAATTTTTATCTATTTTAACAAAAGCACAATGCCATCAGAAATGCGTAAGCAAGTTGTGAAAAACCACAGAGTGCATTCCAGCAAGCCAGAGGTAATAATGGCTGAGAAAGGGTAAATTGCAGAAACTTGCAAGCCCTGAATCATCCAACAGCTGGATAAGTGCACAGGACGAATCATTAGGTTCAGACATAAGTGGACCACTCAGGAGATGGTGAAACATGTTGCTAAGCAACTAGGGGCATTTTGCGTCCCATCTCATCGCTAAATATTCAGTAGCTAGGTCATCTGTCTAATTAATATCATGAAAGTGTGTTTTATCCCCGCATCCTCCCCTCTGTCTTTTAACTGCATGTAATTTTCCACTGTCCATTGCTTCAGTCAATGGGTGTGAAAATGCAGTCCCTAGGAAGAAAAAAATAACACAAATGCTGACTGAGAATCGTGCGTGCTGACAATAATGGCTTATTCGCTCACGAGCACAGAATATGTGCCATTGAATTTTCATGTCAAAGAAAATGAACATGTGTGCATTTTCCACACATGATTTAAATCAATACTTCCCAGCAGATCAAGAATTACATATGCATGATTCTCTCACTGTTTGCTTGTCACTAACACAGTAAACCTCAGTATTACTCGAATGGTCTGGTAGGCAATTTAAAAACAAAACGGAAACACACAGGGAAGGTTAGGTACAAAATGCAACTGTCATTTGTATAAGCAATACAAAAGGCAGAATACTTAGGAAGCAGACAACATGTCTACAATTCTGCGCTTTTAAAAACAACCATAATTATAATGCTGTGTTTCACAAAGCATACACCCCTTTATAACAACAGCAACTGGTCATCAGCAGTTTATCCTAAAGAAGACCTAAGGTGTATACTAAGCAATGCATTGCAAACATTTATTACCCACCATAATGCTCCCCCTAACGATGCCATCATTAAACTCTCACCCCAGAAAGCCAGCACTATCTCTCAGTATCAGCTTTCTGGAATAACATTCTTCCCCTAGATCAGTGGTGGCGAACCTATGGCAGACGTGCCACAGAGGGCACGCAAAAGCCCCTCTGGTGGCACGCAAACCTAGGCAGGTGTGTCAAAATCCTATCGCACGATGCCCCGGACATGCATTTTTGGGCACAGGGTGGCTATATTCTTTCTACATTTAGCCCTGCTTCAGGGAAACAAGGTTAAATGTGCAGCCACCGAGATCACTTGTATTAAACCTGCTGGATTCCCCCCCCCCCCCTCCCATTTCCGCCCCACCACCGGCTGCCTCTCTCCCTGCTGGCTGCCTCCCTCCCCTCTCAGCAGTCACAGGAGAGCCAGCACAGTGCTGTGCTAGAACTCCTGTATTGGAGGTGACAGGTTCAATACAGAGAGCAATAAAGTGGAAAAAAAAGTTAAAAAAAATAAAATAAAAAAATAATAATAAATATAAAGTAAATCAAATCAGTAAAAAATATAAGAAATAATTAAAAAATAAGTCATAAAAAAGTAATCAAAACAAAGTAAAAATATAATACGATAAATACAATTTAAAAACAAATAACAAAATGTTAAAAAATAAGAAATAAAATGTTTAAATGTTTGAACCTGCGTTTCCCTATTTTGCCTCAGGCAGTGATGCTGAATGTTTTTTAAACCCCAGTGCCCAAACTAAAACACAATACCAAACTTATTTTAAGTGTTGGCACTTTGAGATAAATGAACTGATTTTGCGTCGCAGTTTGGAGACTCGGGCTTAAAAACGTTAGTCATCACTGCCCTAGATGATACAATTATATAAACCCTCTTTCTTCTGCAGTAGTCTTCATGTTCTGAGCTATGTGTACACATGCTTAGCCCCCTGCTTTTAATTCCTACCTTTAAGAATACTTTACAAGTTCAAATATCCTCAGGTGATTATTTGCTGGGACAAGGGAGCATGGGAAAATGTCATTCTACCAGCCTGCACCACTCAGCCTAGGCACAATCGCTAAAGATACTTGCTCAGCATTTTTTTTTTTAGATATTAAATGAATTACTAAATCAAAACCCAGTCACTAAAATCTCATATAAGCTTTCACATGTGAAAGTCGTTTCAAACGTTATTTCCAATCTTTCTGTCTCCCATTTGTGCTCCTGTATTGTCAGTCTGTCACATGCAGCCCTGATGAAGCAAAGGCTCCCTAGTAAAGGTTACAAGTGGTCGTGTGAACCTACATTGTGCAGACAAAAATATATTTTTTTAAACTAGAAAAAAAATGAAATAAAAATATTTTTTTCATTATTTTAGTCATCAACTTCAAGAAGAACTTCGGGCAAAACTTTTATTAACCCTTGCAGTGGGGAGGAAAATATAAAAGTTATACTCACCTGATCCTCCAAGCCAGCTTGCTCTTAGACTGGTGCTTCCAGCCTCACTCCCCTTATGCTGCAGTGGTCTAAGATCCCTGACTCATCATGTTGTATACACAGTGTATAGGATGTGAGGACACGGAGGGACTGAGGGCCGAAGTATGTGAGGAGACAGGCAGGAGGGAGCACTGTTACAGCTGGCTGGATTGGATTGGAGGAGTATTACTGTTATTTTTCTCCCTAGAGCAAAACAAGCAGTTGACCCTTATTAAATGTTTTGCCCAGAGTTCCTCTTCAAACCTGAAATGAAAGCAGCTAAATACACAGATAAAATACATATTAGGGAGATGTTTTACCATCCAAAGTATTTGTATTTTAACCCATACATGTCTGAACTTCAAACAGTCCCCACACACACAACAGCCAGGTGAATGACACTCTGTTACAGTTACAAACTTTATAAAGAAAACAATGGTGTCCTCTCCACCCCCAGCCTGCTGACTAGACAGTGAAAAAGCAGCAGCAGCCTGATTTGTTAATATCTGCCCTCTATGCCCTCTCCTAATATCAGCATGTTCCTTCTCAGCCCATTTGCATGCAGCACAGCTCACTAGCTTCCAGTTCTTCCTCTTTCTTTTCCAGCCTAAGTGCTGCTCTATAGGAGATTGCAAAAGGATATCAAGTCAAAATAATACATACAAAACACTACACATTCCTGGACAAAATCATATATGCTAGATTCCTATAGACTTAAGAAAATGTGATTTATTTTTTTTCATTTAAATTGTATGTCCAGCAAAATAATTTGTGTTAGTTTTGCACAGAGTGGAAAGGGTAAGAACCTCTGTCACGTTTTTGTTGCTATCTGGGCCACCGTTAAAGAGATTTACCATCTCTTCCTGTGCTGTTGACAATGTTTTATGAGACAGGAAGTGAGAGTAACTTGTCCTGTATAAAAAAAATGCAACACACCAAAAATAACAATGCCTCCTTCTGCATCACACCTCTCTATCAGGCTGTCTATAATTGGCTTCCTTGGCAATGCCTATGATCAATGCAGCGCGAATGTGTGTCCCCCCTACAATGAAGATCTACCAAGATTCTGTCTGTGGTGGAATGGTTTCAGAGCTTGAACAAAGTTCAGGAGATTCATGAGCTTATGCATACCTGGCAAGATAGAAAACCTAAATATACTATTACATGGTCGTGCTGGATGCACTACAAAACTACAGATAAATACTTACAGCGTTTGAGTCCTTCAGCTTAGTCAGACTTTCCGTGGACTCTGCAAGGGGTTTATAGGACACCAGCAGGCAAGGACCGGGGATCTGTGCATCTGTGCAGCAGGGAGAAGTAAAGCTGCGAATCTAATCTGGCGGTCAGGTGTGGAGTCAGCCATGCCCCATGGAGGACCCATTACCTTTTCTTCTTACTCTCCCCCCCCCCCCCTTTTTTCTTCATTCTTACTGTGCTCTGTCTTAGTCCTGGAATACTTGAAGTTTATCATTTAAGAGTTTAGGTTTTTAGCATAGCTCATGTTGAATGTTTAGTTTATATATTAGTATTACGTTTGGGGTTGCAACCGGAATTATTGTACATCCTAATGATGGTTAAGTGTAATACTGTTGGCACTTTTCTGTTCTATGTTTGCAATTTCTGTACAACCTTTACTAGTGTACTTTGTCTGTACTGTGGAATGTATGTTTTAAACTTTAATATTTTTGTGGAAAAAAAAAATGCCTAACTTTAGCAGAATCTATCATATTTTTATTATCATCTATGTTCCTGTTACAGAAAATCCCTCACTTCCTGTCTAGTGAAACTGTTGTCAGCAGAATAAGAACTGAGGGAAATTATCTCTAACGCAGCTCATGGACAGCAGTAAAAACTCGACAGGGGTTATAATCCTTCCCAACGCCATCTAAAACAAGAAAAATGTTTTGGGCTTGACATACACTTGAGAGTTTTGGTTTCAGTAGCAAACCACAATATCAATGACAATATGGAGCAATAAGGTATTATTATTTACCTGAGAAGAATCAGCATTGGCAACTTCACTGGTGACTTTTAGTGCTTTTTTAAAACTCTTTCCTGACTCATGAATAAGTAGATACCCCAGCAGCAGTGATATATGTGAAGGGACACATGTAGTGAATGGCAGTATCGAGGACACAGAGGACAACCAGTCATAGGAAGCACTACTATCTTCTATAAATTTCTTTACCATGGTCAAAGTAACAGACATTGTACAGTGCCAACTTGATATAGGAAAAGACAGCATCTCTACAGCCTAGAATGAAAAAAAAATATATAAATGCAAAAACAAGTGCAGCCTGGATCTACAAAATTGTGTAGTCATTAGATCGACCCCCTTTTTAGGTCTTCAATATAATGTCTATATAAAAAGAAGTACAAAGCTGAATACACATGATCATCACAGTCTGTATGAAAATATCCAAAGAAAGCAAGAATTAGGCTGTGAATCATGTGCAAATTGTCTGTTCATATACAGACTGTTTATATATTTTTTTCAAAAACAAATTCCAGACAGTAGGAAAAACAATGAGTAAGGCTACATTCACACCTACAATATAGGTGCATTTAGGGATCCGTGCGATCGATCATGCGTCCAGGGATAGTTATCGATTCCTAACCGCATAAAATCCTTTCACATATGATTACATGCGGTGTGACGACGTTCTGCTGCCTTTTAAGTGTGGCCGCTGTCACCCAATCATTAACTTGAACTTGTGACAGCTGACACTTCTAAAACGACAGATTTGTGACTCCTGCGGCAGGAAATCACAAGTTCCTGACGCAGGAATTCTGAAACCACCTACATTGTAGGTGTGAACGTAGACTTAGAATATTCCATAAAATAAAAAGAAGACAAGTAAACAGTACTTAACGCGGACCATATCTTTAAAATAACAACAAACACAACTTTAGAAATGTTTAGTGATGACAATCTACAAACACATACTTCTACATAATTGCCGGCTCTGTATTCTTTGCATATCTTATTTTTCTTTTCTTCCCCAGTCTTCTCACAGGGCAGATTACTGTAGTGATGGGCTTGGGCGTGTTCGCAGCTCCACGTGCCGAGCCCACCAGGAAGCTGACAGCGCCAATCACAGGTACTGAGATATTATTCCGGTCCGCAGCTGCAGAGATCGGGATAGGTCTCAGTGCCTGTGATTGGCGCTGCGGCGCTGTCAGCTTCCTGGCGGGCTCGGCATGTGAAGCTGCGAACACGCCTGAGCCCATCACTAATTACTAGCTATCCCTTTACTTCCTGAAAAGCTGGCACATATGACTAGACATGTGACCATGAACATCATTACAGATGAGATTTCCCAGCACTTTCTGCTGATGACAAGGCAATCCCAGTGTGCATTGCTTTCAAGGGAATAAAGCATCAGTTAAAACAATTTAAAAAAAAGACAATAAGTATAGTTAATTAGAGGTCTAATGTGAGGTTAAAATTGCTCATCTACAAAGTATACAATTTTATTTATAAAAATTGGAGCCAGCTGTAACCATTATATGCTGGCACATTTTTTATAGGTGGGAATATGCAAAGGTAGAGAACTATGTAGCACGCAGTACCTACTTTTTGTGTACCTATATGACAACAACAGTGTGTATACTGGTTCTATTACTATTTGTAGTGCTAAATATGTATGCACAACTAATTATCACAGAAATACTGGCTCCTACAGATTGTTTTTGGTTCCTATTTTTTTTTTCGGAATCCATGAAGCCCTAGTGATGCTAAACATAGCACCATTTTAATTACCAATTTCTCTGTCTCCATTTCCCTGTTGTCTACATCTTGTATTTTCTCTAAGATTGTTAGAGCCAGTTGCTGCAAAGAAGATCCTCCCTCCTTCACACTGAAGCAGTCTGTCAGGCCTGAAGATGACACCACCAGCAATATTGGCATTACTAGCAATCGGGCCATAGGTGACATTTTCTTTTCCTTTAGTGTGTCCAACATTCTAAGAGCTGTGAAAAAGAAGTACATTATAAAACAACAATAACCATAAAAACTATCTAAACAGAAGAATGAACATAATCCACATTACAACTAAATCAGAGAAATATGGAATAAAATTGTAGCAGTTGCCCTCATCATCTAGACCCCATGGTTATTGCTTGCCGTGGTCATATACTGTACTTGTGTAGATTTTCTCTCAGTTTTTGTTAATTAGACCAGAGAAAGAGAAGAAGACTTGAGTTGCATAAACCCTGATAAAGGGGCACAGGAGCTCTTGCCTGTCCTATAGACGGATTCCAGCTACCATCTTTCCAGTGTGTGCAACAAATTTAAATTAAATGTCCAATTGTAACACACAATGCACTACACTGCCTTTAATTTATGTGAAGTGCATTAAAGTGCCATTGAAGTAACACCAATATAGATCATAACAGAAGACAAAGGTCCTGTTCAATACACTTACAATACAAGAGATAACAGGGAGTGACACAAAATGTTTGTAATATCTTCAAGAGATGTCATGATCGACATGTGGATGGGCTATTGTTCATGTCAGAACTGCTTCTACATACAAGTAAATGGACACACATAAGCATGTGATGCAGCTTAGGAAGAGTTAAAAGGCAAGTCAGAATACGTCAACTGCAACTGTACACCAAGGGCATGTGTCAAACTGAATGATTTCACAGCATCTAAAACTGATATCAAATACAGGCAAAATTACACCTGAAAGCCAGCTGCATTTGATCATCGACACAAGCCCTACACTTATAGATGTTGCTCAAGTATAACGCCATCTACAACTTTTTGGTTTTCTTTCGACAGAGTGGGAAAGAGTTAGAACACTTGTCAGCTGCAGGCATCCCTGTTAGGAAGATTTGCCCTTACTTTCTGTCCCAGAGACATGACAGAAAGCAAAAGAAAATTTCCCAACATGTGTCTGCATTTTGAGCATTTCACAGTACTCCAGGTCATGATAACATTTTGGATTTTCTTTTAATTTCTTTGCTGATGACCACTGTCACAGGGACAACAAATGAGGGATATCTCCCTAATGAGGATACAATAATACACCGACGGAGCTTCTTACTTTTCCCTACTCTATCTGAAACTAAAAAAATTTTTGCCTGGTTTTCCAGTTTAACTAGATAACAAAACCGCTTGGAAAAATCCTACCTAGAGTCATCATCTGTCGTTGCTGACTTGCAGGAGCTTGTAGTAAAAGCAGACTGAGCCCAACTAAGGTCTGCTCCACTGGAAAATTCTAGAAGAGAAAGCAAAGACCGCAACATGAGATAGAATATAAAATGTAAGATAAAAATGGGCTATTCCGTTCTGTGCATTAGTCAAATGCACACACGATTTGCAAAAACATCTAAAAGTGGCAGATGAGTAGAAATGACAAAATGATTTTTACTTACATCTTTCAGTAGGTCCAAGTTTTGTTCCAGCATGTGTATCAGTGTCGAGCAGTCTCCTGTGATTTTTAAACTGATATCACATGCACACAGGGCTTGAAGAGATAACAGATATAGCTCTTTTTTATACAAATCAGAATGTAGCTGGAAGCTAGCACACACGTTCTTCAGATACATGGTTACTTCTGTGATCTGGGTCCAGTCTGCAAGCTGTGTAATAGAAAGAATGGTTTTGGTGCAGGACAAGAGAAGCACAGCTAGAATACATGTAAGTGGTACCCTGAACAATTTAATTTTTCATTCAAAATTCAGTAAAAAACGATGCCCTAAAATCCTAATGCAGTATAAGAGGTTCAGATCTGGCCTGCTATAAGAATAGATCAGGTCATAAAACCACTTAATTATATATACTGTATTTTGAGGGGAATTTACCAAAACTTGAGCAGACAAAATCTGGAGCAGTTGCCCAGGCAACCAATCAGCATCTCTCTTCAGTTAAGATTTGAAAACAAAAGAGAGCTGATTGGTGGCCATGCACAGCTGTCCCAGATTTTGTCTGCTGTAGTTTTGCTCAATTTCCCTCACTGTGTATATGTATATCTATATATAGACCTATATATAGATATCTATATATACACACACACACACACACACACACACACACACACACACTATATACACACCATCAGATCTTAATCGGACTGCCCATCTGAAAGGGGCCTTAGTTTTGGAATAAAAAGTATTGCAGAACAGTCTATCAAACTGTAGACATTATGTACCTAAAACGGTTTATAAAAGTTTGAATAACAGAAAGCGATCCACTGTGTTTTAACAGAGATGGGGAAGTCACTTAGTGCAGCAGCTGTTCCTGGAGGATCATTATAAGGCACTGTAGTAGCCTCAGCAACTACAGAGGCTTACAGAATCCCTGTGTCCCTGCCAGGGATAATTTATATATACTTACATTGGTCCAGCTTGGCACAGTGTAAGCATGTAAAAAATGTCTATAGCTAGAGTTCACCTTTAATGATGCATACATTTAAACAGCTCACTGAAGAAGTAAATGCAAGCATATATTGGCTACAGATTGTAATTAATGACGCAAATTAAAACTCAAGGTCCCCTGTATGTAGCACTGAACTTTCCAAATTCATACCAAATGGTTACATTTGAAAAAAAAGGAAGCACACATCATCAAGAGATGTAGGTGTATATGACTGTTGAGATTGCAAATGTAATAAAAGTGAGCAGGTGTTACTAGGTTGTTGCAGTGCTAGGTGCTACACACACGTGATTACAAGATGAAGACAAAAGGCATTAGGAATACAAAGTAGGTCAGGTTAGCTTTGGCAGCCCCACCAAGTTATTTCATAGTTTTAGAAGAAATATCTCAGAACCTGCAAAATGACAGCAGAGGTATTAAAAAACTAAAAAGACATGGGAGTAATCTGCTAAAAGGCCAGCTGCAATGAGAACTTTAAACAATGAGACAAAGCCATTTTCAGTGACCAGTTAAAGCAGATGTTATGTGTCATGACCACACCAGACAGATGTTAAAAAGCAACATTAATGTCTGGTAACAAATGCAGACTCGTCAGTTTTTGCACTTGTATTACAGATCTAATGAAAGTTGTTTCAAGGTTTACCAGCTGAGCTGGTAAAACAATGGAAAACAGCTCCAATACTTGGATACAGCACCAGAATAATGATGGGGATTTAGGCCAATAAGGTTCATAATCAGCTAGCGTGTGAACCTTATTGAGAAGATGGCTGGAAGCATTAACAAGTATGTTGTTATATGTAAGTGAATGTAACCCTTAAGAAGATTTATACCCATATTTCTTTATGGCTGTTACCTTGGATGTGGCCTACATCTAGCAATAACATTAGTTTTAACCCCTCTCTGCTATTGTAATGCTCTGGCTACAATATATGGAGTGTAACTGGTTAATGGATCTCAGCTGCGGGTAACGGAGAGTCTTCCTCAAGCTCCACTAGAGGTGCGGGAAATGTTTCCCCTAGGAGTTTATAACACTGTAAATAATGCAGAGTGTTCCTCAAGCTCTATTAGAGGTGCAGGAGATGTTTTCCCTAGAAGTTCCTAATACTGTGAATAATGCAGAGTGCCACAAGGTTTTTGGAAACGACAGCTCTAAATAAAGGAGCACTACCCCCACAATAGACATTAACTACAAAGTCAATTAGTAAGAGGCAAATGAGAATGGATACTTGCAGTTAGGAAGTCCATGTGAGGTTTTGGAGCAAGAATCTGATGGAGTCCTATGAAGCGGAGTGCTGTGAGGCCATGACTGCAGCAAACAGACTGAAATGCAGATTCATTGAGAAGGGTTCCTTTGGTGAGCCTGAAGAGTCAATCCCAGCAGGACTAGGTACTTATCCAGGTAGTGTTGAATTGAGAGTGAATGGGGTAGGGGTAAAATCACTGTGTGAAATCCAGCAAGTTCCTGACAGCTTGAGCAGCAGCTATATGTGGCCAGACGACCTCTGGCGTGAGGATGCCTGAGAGGGGTTCACAGTTTAGGTGCGGCAGCCTTGGAACCAGCATGAGAGGGTCACTAATTACCCAGCGTTCACTGGCAACTCCCAAACACTGGGTAATTTAATTTTGCAGCTTAAAGCTGCTATGTGGGCGGAGACAGATGACGTCGGCGGAGACAGATGACGTCGGCGGAGAAAAGGAAGTGCCGGACGACGTACCCGGATCCTCGTAGTGGTAAGTCTATTACAGCTGTTTATGAGCATGCAAAAATAGGATTTTGGTACTCACCGTAAAATCCTTTT